AAGCCAGAGAGTTCCAGAAAAATATCTACTTCTGCTTCATTGACTACGTAAAAGCCTTTGACTGTGTGGACCACAACAAACTATGGCAAGTCCTTAAAGAAATGGGAGTGCCTGACCACCTTATCTATCTCTTGAGAAATCTATATGTGGGACAGGAAGCAACAGTTAGAACTGGATATGGAACAACTGATTGGTTCAAAATTGGGAAAGGAGTACGACAAGGCTGTATATTGTCCCCCTGCTTATTTAACTTATATATACAATACATCATGTGAAAGGCAGGATTGGAGGAATCCCAAACAACCTCTGATATGCAGATGATACCACTCTGATGGCAGAAAGTGAGGAGGAATTAAAGAACCTCTTAATGAGGGTGAAAGAGGAGAACGCAAAAAATGGTCTGAAACTCAACATCAAAAAAACTAAGATCATGGCCACTGGCCCCATCCTTTCCTGGCAAATAGAAGGGGAAGATATGGAGGCAGTGACAGATTTTACTTTCTTGTGCTCCATCATCACTGCAGATGGGGACAGCAGCCACGAAATTAAGACGCCTGCTTCTTGGAAGGAAAGTGATGACAAACCTAGACAGCATCTTAAAAAGCAGAGACCTCACCTTGCCAACGAAGGTCCGCATCGTCAAAGCTATGGTTTTTCCAGTAGCGATGTATGGAAGTGAGAGCTGGACCATAAAGAAGGCTGACTGCCGAAGAATTTATGCTTTTGAATTGTGGTGCTGGAGACTCTTGAGAGTCCCCTGGACTGCAAGGAGATCAAACCTATCCATTCTGAAGGAAATCAAGCTTGAGTGCTCACTGGAAGGACAGATCCTGAAGCTGAGGCTCCAATACTTTGATCATCTCATGAGAAGAGAAAACTCCCTGGAAAAGACCCTGATGTTGGGAAAGTGTGAAGGCAGGAGGAGAAGGGGACGACAGAGGACACGATGTTTGGACAGTGTCATTGAAGCGACCAATATGAATTTGACCAAACTCTGGGAGGCAGTGGAAGATAGGAGGGCCTGGCGTGCTCTGGTCCATGGGGTCACGAAGAGTCGGACATGACTTAACAACTAAACAACAACAACAATAAGCAGTTGTATCTACGCAGACACACAGTACAGTATACTCAAATGTGAGTATCCTTTAGGGTGCTGGATGGCTTAAGGAGCATGATGTAAGCAGTGAGTCCATCTGAAACCTTTACTTCTGCTTCATAGGTAATCAAGTAGTGGCACCAAAAACCACAGCCACAATTGCAAGGAATACAAAACCAGGTTGAACTAATCATGTTCTGGAGAACTTTATCTAACAATATGAAGATGCTCTCTAGAATGTTGAAGCTTAGATTGAAAAAATGTTGTTGAAAATAGGTGTGTTGTTTAGGCCACTTGTCTCTATTATTGTTAGAAACTGTATACAGTGGTGCCTCGCTTAGCGATGTTAATCGGTGCAGCAAAAATCTCTGCTAAGCGATTTCATCGCTAAGCAATTTTAAAAAGCCCATAGAAATGCATTAAAACACATTTAATGTGTTCCTATGGGCTTAAAAACTAACCTTATGCAAAAATCCTCCATTGTGGTGGCCGTTTTCGGTGCCTCTAAAGTGAGGCAAAACAGTGGGACTACCATTTTGTTTACCCAGCGGCCATTTCGGAACCGCCGATCAGCTGGCCGAAAATGGGGAATTTGCGATGATTGCTTCCCTGCGATCATCGCAATGCGAAATTTCCTCATAGGGGCCATCGCAAAGTGATCACTCTTGCAATGGCAAAATGTCCATCGCAAAACGATTTCATCACTATACGGAGCGATCGCTATGCGAGGCACCACTGTATTTTGTGACACATGAGTTCACTTTGCTGCATTGGTTTGGAATCTGTTATTTGTGCAACTGTTCCTGTCTCACGAGTTTGCATCTCAGAATTTCTGTGTAGATTTGCATCATTATGGCTACAGGCTTATTCCATAATGTTTTCTTACTTTGTCAAGCTCTTTTGACTTTTATCAATTGTTTTTTTAGATGCTACATAATTATTTTTTATATTATTATTCATCTCAAAGTTTTGATCCAGCAAATTAGTCTTTTGCAGTTGGTCTATGTGCATGCATGTGTGTATAAAAACCACATTTCCTTTTCTTTTTCAGGACCTAGGTGTGACCAAAGTGGGCCACATGAAGAGGATATTACATGGGATCAAGGAACTGAGCAGGAGTATTCCTGCCAGCGAGGCTTAACATCTGTTTTCAGAGCCTGTATTTACCATTCTCCCTGATGTCTCTGCTACTGACACATCACAGAGGAGATTTGATTGGAATTGTCTTAACGGAGCAGCTAAACGCTATCGGTGTTCAGAGTGCATATCCAACTTCTCTTGGTGCTACAATTCTGGTGTGGGGTACAGTACTATCCAGTCAAGCAGCACCTTTTGTTCAAAGCCAGTGTTACTTGTCCACACCAACCACAGTGCCCCATCTTTACTCAGGCCTGGACACATTTGCTTTACGCTAGACACCCTTCAGTCAGCCCTTGTAAACTAGGCTGTGGACCAGCTTTGTTGTTACTATTTTATGTTATTTTGGGGATGGTTGGTTTTGGAAGCCAATTTTCTAACTTGCCTTTGATCTTAAGAATTGAGACAGATACTAACAGCTGTGAAAGCTATCTCTTAAGGATTGAGAGAGATATTAAGAGCTGTTAGTCATGCACACATAATGATGACAATTAGCAAACGAGGAGAAAAGACTAGGATTATAAACTAATTACTGGGGGCAGCCAAAATAAGTAAATATAGTATCACTAAATATGGTAACAGACCATTGCTACATAGACTTTGAATTCAAATTAGGAAGATATTTTTCTAGGCAGTGCCCTTTACTGTGGTGCCAGAGAAGTGAATTGACCATTGATGTATGAGTGAAGATTCTGGGACTTTTTTCTCAAGGGATGTAAACTTATCCTTAAGGTTAAAACTACTCTGTTATCCTTGTTATATAATGCTTATGGATACCAAAGGAATGGGATTTCATTGTTCGGGCTTAAAACAGCAAGTGCCTAGAAATATCCAACGGTCCCAGAAGTGTATCCTAAATGGCAGAAAGTACTGTTTTTAAAATAAGATTGGTACATAGTGCATAGGCTCTAATTTTGCTAATCTAAAAAGCAAGAACATAAGAAAGTAGTGTTGGCATTTTTGAAAGCAGTAAGGTAGTTTTTTGTATATATGTTTTAGGCAGGGTTAAGTATTTCCCTCCTTTTCAAGACTGTTTCCTAAACTTTACCAAGCCAGAGCATCATTGCTTAAGGTATACAAGATATTTTCTCTGTTTTAGGAGAACCTCTTTTTACTAGCATAACTTGACTGAATTCTACAGAATTTCCTGTTAGTGACTACTTCTGCATTCCATCTAATCTTGTTACTTCCTGCCATGTATTTTGCAGGAAAGGATAACACAGTCTTATTTATGGAAAACTACGGTCAAATTTGTGGTAGACTTCAGAGAGAAATCTTAAACCTGAGCTGCATATCTATCTAGTTCTGTTCCACCATCACTGTTTGCAGAGACATTTTGCCTTATTGGTATGGCATCCTCTTGCTGTGTTCAATTTCCTGTGCATGCTAGAGGACCATGAATTTGCAAATCACATAGGTATTCACCAGAAATGTTCTTCGCTAGGTATTTTTAATTGCTGTGGTGCTGATGGAAGTCTGGACCAGACTTTGCATTGGGTCAATATCAGATACAAGATCGTAAAAATTATTTCTGCACTTTATTGGTGATATACAACAGCCTCTTCCATTGCCTGGTGAACACCTCAGTGAGCAGAATCAACATGCGATAACTATACAGCTGAAAAGGGGTATTTTTCCTATTCACTTTAATGTGGAAGAACTGCAGTGCTTGCTTTTATGTTTTGCTTTTAATACATGGGAAATCGAGGATGCTCTTGTTACCACCTCTTGCACAGATTAGTCTTGTCCTCGAAGGAGCAGTTTTGTTATACTCCCTTGACTAGGATTAGATAAGACACTTGTCCATATTTCAGTCAGGTGGCATCACTTTGATAATAGCCATATATGCAGGGAGCACTAGATTGCTCTGTTGCAGTTCTCTCAAGGAATTAAATTTTTGCACTTGTGCCACTCCTTCAGCACATCCCAGGGCGCTGGAAATCAGGAAGTGTTCCACTCTCTCTGTTGGTCCTGAAAAGGAGATCAGTGTGTGCCAAATGCCTTTGGATTTGCATTCATATTTAAAGAAAAAATAAATAGATTTAGGCCCGAGCCCCATCCTTTGTGTGTTAATTGCTACTGGAAACAAAACAGTCTCCTTGAAACCTGGATCTCAAACATTATGAGAAAAACCAGTGCTTTAGGTTGGCAAAATTGAATGTCAGGCTGCTGCTAGTTATACCTCTGATGTCTCTTGAGGTATTGTTTATTGAAAAATGGTTTTGCTGGCTGAATAAAGATAGCAAAAGCCCTGGAGAAAAAGACTATTATGAGTGCCACGACAAACTAGACATTTCACCTTGAAAACTTCAGAGCTTCAGCCATATCATTTAGGATTTTGGAAAAGAAGACACTTAATGGGATCTTACTGCAAGTCGTCAGCAATTTTGCATTGTTTTAAGTGTTTTGAGTTACCATATGTTCCATTTTGTGAAGAAATTTAATTTTTTAATGTTTTATGCTGATTTCTCTAACTAAAATACAGGGCATGATTTCTACTAGGTCCGTTACATTTCAGTGGAACCTAAGTTAAAACACACGTACAAACACATGTGCCAATCTTCGACTCCTTTGGAAATAAATCATTGTATCTTAGTAACAGGAGGTTAAATGTATTATCGAGCTGATGGTTTTTGCTCACACAAGATGACCTCCTCTCCATCATTCTGCCGCTATGTGCCAACCCCCTGCCTGCTCCACAGTCTTTCCACCTTCTGCAGCAAATACACAGACTGCATGAATGATCTGCTGGGGAATTGTGACCTACAGACAAAAGCTTTCATAGTGGAAAGCATTAATTGGATATAACAAGTGTGCAGTGGAGGGCATTAATTGGATGAACCAGTGTGCAGCAGTCTTATGCATGTTTACTCAACGAGTAAATCCCCCAGAATTGGATACCCCAACGCCACTTATGTGTGTATAGGATTTCAATTAAAGTTATTTATTAAGTTTTGTTCTAGTGGATATATTCACAATTTCAGTCTATGGACGTGCTGGGATTACAAAATCTACTAGAACATGCATCTCTGATAAGAAGAGGCACATAGTGCCAGTGTCTCTTGAACAGCTCTGACCATCTATATCATTTTAAAATTATTTTTTAGTATTATTTAAAGGTAAATATAGTATGAATGGTAAATTTAAAGACTGTTTACACAAAAATCCTTATATCTTAACGGAAGTTGTGATGTAAAGAAATGAAAGAAACATTTTTTAAAGTCATTTGGTGTCTGTATTGTTGTTCACCAATGATAGTTGTTGAGGGGTGTTGTAACCGTTCCAGTGATCTGTCAAAAAACATAGGGAAGCATTTCAGTTTTGTACAGTCTTGGGAAGGTTTTGTGCCTTAACAATAGAATATGCTATTTATTATTTTAATTTATATCATGGTTACCATGGAAACACCTCTTGTATGTACATATTTTGCAACTGATTATTGTACATATATTGTTGTATATAAAGAAAAATCTGTTTCTGAGCTTGCTGTATAAGAATTGATTTGTGACTGTGTTTGTCAAGAAGGATGTGATGTTTAATATTCCTTTGTCAGACCTGAATTTAATAACAAAGTTACTTCAAGGAAGCCAATCATGAAACAGAAATGTTTCCACATCTGAATGGTGCTGTTGAGTATTTTGTCAGTAATAGTGATAGTAACCTTCTTGCAAGAGGTGAGTGAATTGGAGAGATTTAGTCCAATTTAGTCTCACATCCTCAGATACCATCTTGTCCTCTTTATTATCCCAAAAAGACACAAGTTGTTAAATTGATAGATTTAATTTAATCCTCTGCTGACCTTATTCACAGTCTTTACAAGAAATTAGGTAGTCATAGAACCAAAGATAGCCATTCTCAATAAGAGCAAATGATTGTGTGTACAGCATTCTGTTAACATGTATTTCCTTGGCCATTTTGCACTAACAATCAGAAATACAAAGTTTTTCCAATAGTCTGGCAAGTGAGACATGACTTATCCTTGTCTGGTTACTATAGTCTACTATAATATGCACCTGCCAAAGACATTATGAGTGAAACCTACAAATGAAATGGAAGGTAAATCTGGAAGGATGGCAGGAGGCAGAAGACAACACTATTGCTGACTACCAGTCATGAAAACACTATTGCCTCTAGCATCAGAGGCAGCATTCCTCTAAATATGAGATAATAGGGCACAGAGCAGAAGAATGCTATTACTTACTGGTGTTCTGCTTGTGGGCTTTGTGCAGCATTTGCTTCCTCACCGTGTAGTGGGCTGGAGTGATCCTCAGCTTGATCTGTTATGGTCCTTCTTATGACCATAGTGGGTGTTACTTTGCTGTTAGCCAGCTACTTTAATTTTCACTTAATCAACTCTAGATTGTCAGGTCAGAGAATCTGATGCCTGACACTCTCCCTTAGAGTCTTACAGAACTGTATAGACCTCCAGGTGGAAAAATCAGGAGCCTGTGTTTCTCACAGCTGGTATTTATCTCCAAAAAGGCTAATTCCAGAATGAAGCCAGATAATCATTTCCAATCATTTTCACAGGTGCAATAATTTCAGGCAACAAAATCTTGTGTAATTCTACAAGCTTTATATGTACATTGCTTCTAGTTTCCATAAGCACAAAATACTTCAAAAAGTAATGTTAAAATGTATTGAAAACAGTCTTACAGTTATGAGAAAAACTAGGCACAAATGCTTACAAAATATGAAAACTATACTTAAGTTGCAGCAAAATACTCAGGTCAGAATTCAGTTCAAAATACATGAGCATAAAAAAATACAATAAGAATTTACATTCTAAAAATGCAAGAGTTTACAGCCTAAAAAGGCACATATGAAAGGCAGAGAATACATCTCTAAAATATCAAAATTCTTAACAATAAAAATATATAAAAGAAAATGACTTGCTTCTTAACATGGTTAGAACACAGAAAAATAATTCTAACTGTTCACTCAGTCAAACCAGCTTGAAATCTATTGCGGAAAATCCATGATGATTGTGTTGCCAGCTTTTGGAAATGAAGATTATTGATACACTGTTATATGATGATTGTGTGTGGTATAGCACGTCCTCTTGTTATGATGAGTTGAATTCATGTGTGTCTTACCTCCCAGTGTTTATATTTCTTTCAGTTTTCCTGTTCCTTATGTCTATAAACAATTCTTTCACCAACATATTTTTTAAAGAAATCTATTATTGTTGCACATAGGGCTCCAAGGGCTTGTAACTCAAAATGTGGCAACCTGCCACCATGACAATAGTGTAATTGTTTTGACTAACATTTTGCAAAGCCCAGAGGATTAAAGACGTGTAACATAAAGCATAGTGCAAGTTATAAGACCTGCATCCTTAGTTTATACTTTGTTATTATTTATAAAACATGTTCAGTTGTCAGGGATATTACAGTACAGTAACCTATTGTTTAAGCTTCAGTTCTAAGACCACTTTCATTTTCAGAGCTGCTTTTTCTACATTCCCCTTAATTATTTCACAGTTGAGATGTAATGGATTCCTAGGGGAGCCTTCCTGTTGTGACGGAGTTTGTTGATTCCTTTCACAATTACAACTGCAGGAAATGTTCTCCCATTTTCACACTTAGGTTAACAATTACTTTTGTTCTTCCATATAACACGGATCTACATCTCAACATGTCAGTCCTCAAATGAGACCAGAAAATTAAGGAGAAAGGAAAGGCAGCTAGCAAGGGAAGCAATAGGGAGGAGGGGAAAGTCTCAATGACTCTTGAGATGTAGGGAAAAAAACCTGGAGTTCAGCTACAGCTACATAAAGGGAAAACTGAATAGATCCACTGCATAGTTGTACCCAGGAAGTCTGATTTTCCTTGGTGAATTTGCTTTAGCCAACCACATAGGAGTCAGAAAACAAAAAGGAGGAAATTGACAATCAGCTTTGTTTGCAGCTTGTTAAGGTAGTCCTGCTGTGGCCATCCACAAGAATCATGATTACAGCAGACCTAAACAAGTCTGAATTATAATTTTCCTCCTCTTTCTACTGATTCCATGCTCTTTTCTTCCCCCTTGGTCATCTAAGTTCCCTAACATAATGGCATGAAGCCTTTAAAAAGAAGAGGGTAGGGAGAAACGGAACAGCAAAGGAAAAGGAAAAAAGCAGACCAGCCACCAGGTTTGTGGAGGAGAGAATTCAAACAACTGCCAGTTTTCCCCTGTCACTCTCACTGCTGCTGTAGCTGGCTGGAATGACTTGAAACAGAATGGCTACAAACCCCACCACATTGGCGCAAGTGTTCACACCACCTAAACTGATGTAAATGCATTTGCTACACAAAAAGTAGAAACCCCAACAGCAAAGAAAAATTTCATAAGCTCCAGACTGAGTCACACTGTTTGACATATTGTGTAGTCAGTGAAAACTAATGCTACTGTGACATTCCCAAGCCTGAAGGGTTTCCCATATTATTTGCCAATGGAGTTATCCTCTTAGTCTTATAGAGAATGTTCCTCATTGACATATGCCAATTAAGCAGCATGAAAGGTTGTAATTTTTTCAACAAGTTGGGATGTGTGAACTAAGGGGGTAAAGAGGTGCCTACCGGACATGGTGATGAGAACTTGGCTACATTGTTATTCTTACGTGCCATCAAGTGGCCTTTAACTTAAGGATGCTTTTGGCAGTGTAGTTAAACTGCAGTACTACAGTGAAGATTTTGTTCATGCTCCATTTGATCCTGGGCTCAGGTAACCAGTCTGAGGTTGACTCAATCTTCCGACCTTCCAAGATTCGTAAATTGAGTACTCAGCTCACATGGGTGGTAGGGAAGGATCTGTAGCCTGTGTGATTAAATTGTAAAACTCCCAGAGAGTGTTTTGAGCACTATGAGATAGTATATAAGCAGCATATGTTGCTTTAAGGCAACCCTATGACTGAGTGATCTCCAAAATGTTATGTCCTCAACAGCCCTGCTCACCTCTTGTAAACTCAAGAGGTTGTGGTTTCCTTTAGGGTGTTGACCCATTTTATATTTGGTCTTTGTCTTTTCCTGATGCCTTCAGCATTTCCCAGCATTATTGTCTTGTCTTCTCACGATGTTCCCCAAATAGGACGGCCTTAGTTTCATTGTTTTTGTCTCCAGAGATAGTTCAGGCTTGATTTTCTCTAGGAGCCACTTATTCATCTTTTTGGCAGTCTAGATTATCTGTAAAGTTCTTATACCACCATATCTCATCCATATCAAAATTTTTGCTGTTAGCTTTCTTTGCTATTCAGCTTTCACACTCAAGAATACAATAGTAGGGATGATCCTGGACTTGATTTCCAGTGACACATCTTTACACTTGATGATCTTCTAATCCCTTTATTGCTGCCCTTCCATGTCTTTTGTCTTCTGATTTCTGGGCTGCAGTCTCCATTTAGAATGATGATTAAACCAAGGTATTCAAAATCTTTAGCAATTTCAGTTTCTACATTGTCAACTTTAAACCTATGTAGTTTTTCTCTAGTTTTGATTTTTGTCTTCATAATGTCCATCTGCAAGCCTGCTTTAGTGCTTTCTTTTTTTTACTTTCATCAGAAGTTATTTCAAGACATTGCTGCTCTCTGCCAGTAAGATGGTGTCACTTAAAGTATCTTAAAGCAGGGTAGAATGAGATGTAATAAACATCGTTTTCCAAAACATAAAACAAACAAAGAAACTTATAGTATTTTAAATTATTGATGTTTCTTCGACCAATTTGTGCTCTTCCATCTGAATCTAGTCTTATTTTTCATTTATGTTCTGCACACAGATTGAACAGACAAGGGGATAAAACAGACTCTTTCCTGACACCCTTGCCTAAAGGAAACCATTCTGTCCTAACAGTAGCTTCTTGTTCACAATACAGGTTACATATCAGGACAGTCAAGTGTTGAGGCATATCCGTGTCTTTCAGAGCAACTCATAGTTTCTCACGATCCACACAGTCAAAGGCTTTGCTGTAGCCTATGAAACATTGATCTATTTATGAAATTCTTTGGTGCACTCCAGTGAAAAAAAAGGAATCAAAGATAAATCTGACATATTGCCTGATCTGTAGAATAAGTGGTTATGTTAGTAGGGAGAGGCAATGAAGAAATGAAACACACACGCTTTAGCTTTTGGTATACAGTATTAAGTTTGAAATAGCCCAATTTAGAAGAAAAAGAATACAACGAACTGGAGACACCTGGTAAGTATTGGGTGTGGATAACAATGGAGAAGAAAGGAGCTTTTGCCTGGGTCTTGTTATTGGTGCTAAAAACCATGAGGAAATAATCTGGGGCCATCCGGAGGAGAGAGGGAGAACAGCATGGAGCCCAGAACAGAGAGCTTGACAGCAAAGGCCATAGAAAGAAGCTCATCCATTGACTGCTTTAAACAAGTGGTCCTGACAGAAGAACCAGCTAAGAAGTTAGATGTGAATGACTCAAAATATGAACCAGAGGAAAATGGTAAAGTATTTTGAAGACAATAGTGAAGCCAAAGAAAATTAGAACAAAATAAATGCTAGCACACAAGCATCACACCTTAATCAGACTATTAATGTTGTAGTTAATGAAGTGTATAAGCTGACAGTTGTAGCTCTGCAGTGCTATGCTGAGGTTTCCTCATCCTGGAATTGCATAGTTAATTGAGATTGGATCTCAAAATAACTTGGTAAGTCTAGACAGAGGGCTCTTCACTTAAGTGTTAAAAATCAACTGATAACTTGCATTAGAAATCAAACTACACAATTCCAAATTTCTGGCAGTGCAAGGAGAAAAGAAAAGCATATGTCTAGTGAGGCACTATGTTACGTTATGTACTGTCAAGCTGGAACCAATTTATAGTGACTCTAACAGAGTTTTCCAGGTAAGTGAGATATTTAAGAAGTAGTTTTACCAGTTCCGTACCCCCAGTGAGCTTCCATAGCTGATCAGGGATTTGAACCAAAGCCTCTTAAGTCTTGTCTGTCAGTCTGTCCGCTGCACCACACTGGGTATCCCCAATGGTGATGGTGATGATGATGCAGTGTCAAATTACATTTGACTTAACGGCAATACTTTCCAGGGTTTCCTAGGTGCAGAGTACTCCAGAGTGGTTTATCATTCCCTTTTCATGGGGGAACTCTGGAACTCAGTGTTACATACAGCACTGATGTTACCTGTCTGTCATGGGTTTGGAGGGAAAGTTCCATCCTATGGGGAGTGGAAGGCGGGACATCAGGAGGAGGGGCTGTACTGTATATATATGTGTGGAGCGTGTGTGGAGAGATAGCAGACGAAGCAGCAGCTGGGAAGAAGAAGCTGTTGTGGGAGTCTGTGTGTCAGACAGGGTACTTCTGTGTGTCAGAGTACCAACCTGATAGGTTCAGGTGTCTGTTGGTTAGCCAGAACTGATAGGTTCAGGGTCTGTGCTTCAAGTTAAGGGTTCTGGGTGAACCAAACTGTATGCTTGTATGAGTGAGAATAAGCCACGTTACTTTATTTTATTCACCTGATTGTTTATTTTTCCCTGTGTGTATTTAAAATAAACCTTATTCTTTTTATTGTTTAAAAATCCATCCCTGGTCTGTGTGACTTCTTAAAGGGAATGGTTGGTGGCAGCTTAGTGTAACTGTGTGGCAGATCCCAGTAGGTCTGGGTTTGTCACACTCAGTAGCTTCTCTAAGAACATACAGGTTGGCTGTTCTCTAGAAGGCACAGTGGGGAATCAAACTTTGGGAGGTAGAGCATTGCAGTATCACATGTATAATAGCCCAAGACAGAGATTAATAACTGAGTGGCAAAAGGGTGGATGTGAATGGAGAGATCAGACAATACTATGTTTTTTGCTGACATGTTTCTTGGAATCATACAGGTTGGGGCTATTTTTCTAGTGGCTGTTTAATCCACTAAGAAATGGGTTGAAGCCCATGTGACAGATTGCCCCAAAGACTGGAAAATGGAACCAGCAAACAACAGGAAGAAATGTTAAAGCACAAATTTGTACATTTTGTCCATGTCAATTGTGATTCATGAAATAATTTGTCTTGTATGTTTTTTTGGAAACATGACGACATGTACATCTTTGTGACCCTAGTTGAATTCATGGCCTTTGGCTTCCTAATAAAGAAATCAAAAGGTAATGGATAACTGTTCTGACTTTTTATATGAGATTTTCTGTGCATTTTGGAAAGTCTGAAGAAGCATTAGAAAAACAGGTGGTGGAAGGTGCGGTCTAGAACGCACGCACGCATGCACGCACGCACGCACGCACTCCTATTTCCATGAAGGCAGCAGTATGATTTCACAATAAAAATCTTCCTTGTCAGGAAACATTCTGGGAATGGAAATAAACTGGAATAAATTGCTTCTTTTCATTAAAGAGGAGGCATTTTAAAACTCTTGAGGATTTTGAAACTAGATGTATCTATTTGTGGAATGCTGGCATCTACTTTGACTAGCTGTTGCCTAGACAATAAAGGGAAAAGAAAATAAGAGAAAAAGAAACTGTGTGAAAAAAGAAGTGAGTTCTCGTCAATCAGCAAAATCCTATTGAGGCAGTTTTGTTTAACTGAATGGGAGGCTCTGTGAGTCCTTTCCTGAGTAAATATTTGAGGTTATGGATTAACTAGTGTCCTCTGGGTTTGATGGCGGAAGAGCAGACAACACAGATTCAGCTAGTAAAATAAGTAAGTCTTTGGGAGGGTGGTAGTGGTGGTCATTTTAGTCCTGCTTCTCCTTAAAGTTAAGAGCAAACAGAACAGCAAAAAGTAGAGAAGGTAACAACGGGGGAAGTTAGTAAGAGAATCCACAATGCACATAGCTTTTAGCTACATACTATTTATTTTGCTTTGAGCACATAAATCTTCATTAAAGTCTTTTGCATGACTCTTGTTTTTTTGGATAGGAATGGGGAAAAAGTTGTAGGATTACAGTGGTGCTATCAAGAGTAAACAGCCTTGCCAGTTTATTATGTAAAAAGATGGGCAGCACTGGGTGAGAATGATTTTGAAGACTATATGGGGCCAAAATATTGAATATAAATTCACCTCAGTGCACCATACTTTATATGCCAGTCACAAAAGTTGACATATATTTTGCTAAGTCTCCATAAAAATAAACACTTTCAAAAAGATGTGGAGCATATATTTCTTCCCCAAATCCTCAATTTTTTGGTGATCATTCTCTTAGGTTTGCAATGTGTTGTACAATGTGGAGAATCATTATGCTTTGGGCATTTCCAGCTGTCTTCATATTGCCTAGCGGACATGGAGCATCAGGTATATCTTTCTTTTATGCATTAGTTTTATAGATAACTCTTACATCCTCTGAACATATTACATACAGTATTCTGTAGATGTGACTTCATTCAGTTAAATCACATACATGTGTGTCCATACACACACAAGAGTGCAGGGCGAATAGTTTGATATTTTCATCATTCTCACAAGGAAGTATTAAGTACCTGTTGCGTAAGCAAATGTATTCTTGGTGGGCAATCTTTGAGGACACTGTGGCAAGCAGGAATATCCTGTTTTACTATGCTGAACAGGCTTTCTGCTCTCTTGGTGCTTGTTAAACCTGTGGTCCATGTCCCAGATTCAGGCTCCCAATAGATATAAAACCATATTCTTACTTCAGTTAATAGAGTTAAGTGTGTGGACATTATCACTTTCACGTGGAAGGAAGAATGAATAACACTTCTATATATCATTGCAAAATAGCACTATGTTTAGAAAGTTTTATAGAGTAATCTAAACACTACATGAATTTTTCTACTCTGCTTTCCATCTCAAGCATCTAGTGTTTTCCTGTATTTGAAAAACTCCCCCACCCCTGCACTTCAGGAGGGGAAGAGTTTTTCAATTATAATAAATTGTTGAAAGTTACCTGAATTGTCCATGTTTTACAATATGATTCAAAAAATGCCTCACGTATACTCATCCCTCATCACCTCTCCCTTCCCTAGTGTTCTACAGCCAACAAGAAGCAAATCAAGTTCTAAAAATCCAGAAGCGGGCAAATACTTTCTTGGAAGAAATAAAGCCAGGTTCATTGGAACGGGAATGCAATGAGGAACAATGTGATTTTGAAGAAGCCTGTGAGATATTTGAAAGCAATGAAAGAGCAGTAAGTTATGGTAAAAGATTGGAACATAAGAGTCAAATTAGTTTACCAAGCTAAATTATTTTTTAAACCAATATGTAAAGAACACTTGGTGTTTCATTATGTCTCCCAAGGAATGTCTCTGTACAACATCTTTGTGGAGTTGTAAGCAGATTGTATGCTGATAAATGATCATCCCTTTAAAAAACGTAACCCAAGAAATTGCTTGGATTGCTTATTTCTTTTGGCTGGTTGGTGTGGCTAGAACAGAGAAATTTCAAGCTGCCTGGGGAATTCCAAGAACACAAATCTACTCACCTCTCTTTCTTATTTGTGCCCCTACCACATTGAAGTGAAAACCCATGTTATGTTGTCAGCTTGGGATGTGTCCATAATGTATTTCTTTATTAGCTGCATGTATAACTTATTTCCTCCAATGATCTGAAAACAGGGTACATAGTATGCCTTTTTGCCATTTTATCCTCACAACATCCCTGCCAATCAGGCTTGAGAAAGTAAGGATTCCATTTCTTTTTACTTGTTGCTAACTGACACAGTGCACAAGCAATGCATCTATGATGCATTAGCAATGATTAAAAAGAAATGGAAAACTTCCCCTCTGCAGGAGAGTGGAAAGGAAGCTTTCTATTTCTCAAGATTGATAAGTAGTTTAAGCAAAGATACAGTTTAAACCATCCACTTTGGTTCAATCTCAGAGATCACACCCACTGGAACTGAACCAAAATGGAGTGAGCTTACCCACACCAAACAACAACAACAAAACAGTAGTTCCTGACAAGAACCCAAAAAACGTGCAAGTAGGCACCCATCAGGGATGGGCTGGTTTGCAATGGCCCATGTATAGTGTGGTCCCCAGGAAAAGGAATGAACCAGACCATCTCCAACCTATAACAAACATTGAGACAAATGCCTGTCTAGTCACACGCTGGCCTGAAGTCAACCAATTAGTTTAATATTTGGTGAAGACGTCAACACAAATCTTCCAAGTTCTAGTCCAACTGATTGTATCATGAAGCAAAGTATGATTACTTCAACGAATGCTTGGTCCATTAGCCCACGATTTTCAGCGTGTCACATACGCAGACTATTTATATCTTATCGTGATTATTTGGATCCATCAGCTTCTAAAAATTGTGTGTCTGATCATGTCCCATACAGGAAACAGTCTGTTTCTAGCTTTAACCTAGTTTTTGTTTCTTTACAGCTAAGCTTTTGGACAAAATATTATGGTAAGTAAAGTGCTATTCTAATTTCTTCAGTGTAGCTGATGTCTTTTTCCTGCACCTGCAATACTCAGATTGCCATTACCAGATTCTGTTGGTTAGTGCTACTTTCTCTTGCTGTATAGAGAAGTAAGTTTGTATTTTCTGGGACAAATATAAAAAATTCTCTGTGATCCATCCATAACAACAAAGTCTGAGTTGAACAGTATTTTAATTGAATCATTAAAACGTTTCAAACAAGACAAGTTTTCACATTCTGTTGATACCTTTTTTAGGCATGTTGTATACCATCTTTGCCTAATGAAGAATTCTGCAAAGCTCAAAGTCTAATTTTATCTGTAATTTTTCAGTAATCTAATAAAAATATTTATTTATTCATTCATTCATTCATTTAACATATTTTTACCCCACCTTTCTCCCTGAAAAGGACCCAAGGTGGCTTACAACAATGAAAGACAATATTTAAAGTTGAAAATAATGAGTATACAATGGTGGTTAAAATCATTAAAAGACAATATTTAAAACTATGAACAATGTATAAAGTCGCATCTTACATCAGTAACAGGCAATATTAAGGCAAATATCAGTAAGTATACAAAAATGTTTTAAAAGCCACTCTGAGAAATGGAAAAGACAAAAATGGAAAACACAAGTAGCATTAAAAATCCAGTCAAAGCAGTAATACATAGCAATCTATCTAAAAATCACACCTCCAGCTTTGTTGTCAAAGGGCAGAAGGTAAATCTATGGATCTAAGAATCTACTGTATCTTACAGAGAACTGCCAAGGATTTCATACTTCAGCTCGTTTAACTACAGCACTAACGAAATTACTCCTCTTGATAAATTCTGTAAACCTGCTAATCCTATGGAAGTTTTGCAGCTTTGCTGTAGTGGTTACAGATTAATAGTTTTCTAGCCACGGCACAATACAGTCCTATTCATCTTCCAATGAGTTTCAGGTAATTAGTTTGTAATTCCTATAATCTTGAAGCAGAAGTATGTTCCAAAACTTCTCATTCTGCAAAACTCAACATGGCTCAAAGCAGAAAGTACAAGTTCTGCTTTGTATATATGAATAATTTGTTGATTGTTATTGATCTTTATTACAGTCACCAGCCAGCAGATATATTCAAATATTATTATTGTATATATTAGCATAACACAAAAATACAATTGAAAATATACAACCTATTACAACATGACTAAATTTTATAGAATATCCATAGTTTCACAGGACTGAGGAGATCGGTAAATCAATCTAGTAAACTTGGTACCAGGTCCAGTCTCATCATCCTAAAGAGTGTGGCATATAAAGGATATGGTGGCCCATACACAGCATTACTAAAATCTGGCATTGCTTTAATCGGTACAAGGAGGGAACAGCAACCCTTCATTGCTGCCACACAAAACTTCGCCACTGCTTTAGTTATATATTTTTTGTCCGAGAGTAAGAGTGCAACATAAAATTCTCTGGACCTCCTTTGAAATTGTTGCAATATGGGCTTGAGGAGATATATGAACAATTCACATTCAGTGGCTATTGATTAGAGAGAAGAGGTGTATTTAATATTTTATTTTGGAAAATGTGTATGGTTTATGATCTGGGTTTCCTTGCAAATGTGTTTTCAGATGGAGACATGTGTGAATCTAGCCCATGTTTCAATGGAACCTGCCAAGATGGCATTGGGAAATTTGACTGTGTTTGTAACAACGGCTGGGAGGGCCGCCTGTGCCAAAATGGTAATGCTATCTTTATTATCTATTTTATCATGAAAAAAACAGCTATTGTTACGTTTAAAGAGTGCCTCTATGTTGCTTCATACTTAAAACACTGTACAGTATACACATCCTATTTTCAAGTCCTTTTGCACTACACACTATTTGTGGATCTTGTAATTTAAAAAATTGATAGCATTTTTTTGCTTCTGTTTTAAAGCTGTAGGAGAGTAAGATGTGGCAAGACTAGCCTGTCTTCCCCTGACAATGAATTTAAAGATGAGGGTACCACACAGCTAGTGCTAAATAGTGATTAATCTAGTACTAGCTCAGTCTATCCTCACTTAACAGGTGAGGGCAGGTAAAATGGCAAAAGGGTTGTGTTTTCCGAACATCATGTATTCTTGAGATCAGATCTAATATATCTGATCTAAAATAGACAGTCATGTCACATGCAAAGCCTGGAAACATTACATTGCTATGGCGCCTAGAATCCTTCAACCCGCATGTTTGGAGACACTTTGGAGCATAGCAGTCCTAAACCTAACTGTTTCAAGCTCTGACCATATGTTTTGTTGCACAGACACTTTGGAGCATAGCAGTCCTTAACCTGTTTCAAGCTCTGACCATATGTTTTGTTAGACTGTTCAGTCTATGAGGACCTATTATGCCATTTAGTTTGATGGAAAAATTTTACAGTTATTGATAAACTGTAACAGTACAAATGCCACATGCCTGCTTCAAGGCATATTACAGCAAGCCAGGCAAATTGTTTAGTCTGATTGGCATGGTAATGAGGTGTTTGTTAAGCTCACTGTGGATTCGTGATTTCTAGCACTGTGGACAAAAAGTTGATGCAGCGCCATGGTAGTAGAAACAAGGATCAAATGCCAATGGTAGCAGAACAATTGTTGTCAAGTGCCTTCAAGTTGCTTTTGATTTATGGCAACTCTAAAAGGGTTTTCAAGGTATGTGAAATGCTGAAGTAATAGTTTGACCAGTTCCACCCCTCCAGTGAGCTTCCATGGCTGAGGAGGAAATCAAACTCAACCCTCCTGAGTCCTAGTTCAACACTCTACCCATTACCCCAGACTGGCCCTCCAATGCTCCATGCCCAGGCCTCATACTGTTTAGCTTCTTTGAGGACTGTGGCTCAGTGGTGGGCCACAGAAAGCTTCACGTTCAATCTTTGATATTTCAAACAAACAAACAAAACACCACTCAAGAGCCCCTGAAAGTGTCAGCAACACATGTACCAACAATTAAACTGGATATAAAGCAGCCTCTCATATTCCTACATTCCTCTGCATTTATCAAGATTTAATGTCTTCAATTAGTTTTCCAGTGTTTAGCCGCTGTAAGGTTATTATAAACCTAACAAAAATATATTTAAAGAGAAATAAAGTTTGAGTGACACTAATAGAAATTGCCAGCTATAAGTCTGCCTTCCTTCATTTGTTACTTATTTTTTCTGCTCAGAGGTCATCTACACCAACTGTTCTACCAACAATGGGGGCTGTGAACATTACTGTAATGAGGATGAAAGAGATAACAAGCAGTACCGTTATTGTAGCTGCGCTTCAGGTTACCGACTGTCAGATAATCATATTTCTTGTCACCAAGATGGTAAGAAAGATAGAAGGATAAGCACAAATCTGGGTTTCAAGTGGGCCTTATCCCCCCAAAATGGGTGGTGGGTGGTTGTCAACATGACTTGAGATGAAATTTTAAAATTAGGTTCCTTTGGAATATATATAATTATAGAGCTACCCTATTTTCTTCCTGTTTGTGGCCCTGGTATAGAATAACCATGTAAATACAGTTCAGTAGAATCAATAGTTGACATTTATCCAATGCCCCTCTGGTTTAATCCAGAGTTTGGAAAAGTTATTTTTGGGACCATAATCCTTCATAAATCAGAAAAGTAACTTTCTTAAGTTCTGGTTGCATCTTATTAATTAAAGTAGAATGTACAAAGGGTAACATAGTCCATACAAATATTGTTGTTCATATTTTTCAGTGGATAAGTATTTTCTTTTTCTATAAATAAACCAGGCTCAGAGGGGAAAAAAGAGGCAATTTTTTGTGTCACTTTAAAGACTAATAGATTTATTTCAGCATCAGCTTTTGTGTATCCTAACCCATTTCTTCAGACACAAGGAGTGCAAATATTATATACTCTAAATGTATCCCCATGATGGTAGGAATCATGAATGATGGTGAGGATATAGACAGAAAATAGATGAAGTCTGTTATTTTGTATTATGCAAGCCAAAATCCTATTGCACAGTTATGGAAATAGTGTAAATGTTATTGCAAATTGACATGCTCAGAAATATCCGTAGGCATTATCTGTTGCACACTTGAGTCACGAGACGTGGCATGCAACAGATATCATAACTTACAGCAATTTGTTGTTTAAAAGTGGTTAGGATTTAGATTGGGGTTCTTTTTAATTTAATTGTCATTATTAATCAGAGGATATTATGTTACTTATTGTTTTATTATTATTATTACTTCTTGATTATTAACTGTTTAACTGTTGTTTTGTTGGTGGTAGTTGTAACACAATATTTTGGCTGTTTATACACTTCCCAGGGAGTGCATGTTCAATATGAGATGGTATAGAAATAAAATAAAATAATAAATAAACTGCATAACAGGATTTCAGCCATTCTATTCTGTTCTATTCAGGAATTATACAGGATTACTGTATTATATAAAATGCACTTTAAATCATGATGTTAGGCATTCAAATTGGTTTCAGCATGAAAATAATTCTATACATGACAACAAATGAGGAAGATACAAAGTGTATATGTGTCATACTTTTGAAGGTTCCTCTATTTTTAAGAACTTCTCTACACAGAGTAAATTGGTGTAACATTCAAACCAGAACAGATTTTTTTCCATATATGAAATTGTTGCAGTGTTCAAGTGCAATGTAAAAAAAATATTGTCAAAGCAACATTGTCCTTTACTAACATGAATAGGCCTATAGGTCTTCTTAATTTTGTACCCAGTAAGATTCCCAGAAAGATATGTATGGTAGTATTAACTGCAGCAAGAGCTGCTTGATGTACTTAAACTAACTACTGGAAAACTAAAGAAATGCCTTCAGTACAAGATTGCTTGTGAAAATTATGGTAGGAGGCAGTGGAACTAAGAACACGTCATTAATGTTCAAATGCATGTTAAGGAAATATGGTGCATAGTAGCTGCTTTTATAAAAGAACTCTCTCATTTATGTCCTGTCTGAATAGTTAAACCACATAGTATTCTGCTGTTTGTCAATATAATCTACTTTTTGAAGAAGATGGAAGAGAGTAAACTGGCCCAGCATCAGAGTATTGCTTAGCAATTACTGAAAATCTTTCTCGATGTCTAATCTATTTCAGATAAGTTTGTGACACTGTGTAAAACAAATAAATTAACTGAGCCCCACCTATAGTATAATACGTTATCATCAAAGTTCCGCCACCTAATACTGAGTAATGTCAACACATTACTGCTCTTATACACACATCATATTCTCTGGCTTATACCTTTAATCTTCAAGATGAATTTTATAGACATAAAACTCAGTTCTGGGGTGAGAGAATGGACCAATGGAGGTCTATTCCCTCACTCCAGAACTGGCCAGTCCACTCACTGTTCAGTTCACAGTGTACAGCTCCAGCGGCGGTGTCAGCGCACCAATTGGGAAAGGAGCCCTGCTGGCTCTTCTCTGCCTCTCTGCAGTGGCTGTCCACTCATTGGCTGAGTGAGGAGACTCCCCATCCTACCTCCGTACCGGAGAAGTCAGCTGTGCGGAGAGGTGAGGAAGAGCCAGCAGGGCTCCTTCCTTGAATGGCGGGACAATGACAATGATGGAGCCGAGCACTGCATGCCAAACAGTGAATGGGCTGGCCATTTGGGGGAACAGAATGGATGAATACAAATAGCTTGTGTCTACGACAATTCTCCCAGTGTTTTCTAGGTGCAAAGTACTCAGAAGCAGCTAAATAACTCTCTCCTATGATGCTATTATTTTTCTTTTCTTTTCTTTTTTCATGTAGTGGAGTTTCCTTGTGGAAGAATTGTGGAGCCCTCACCCCAGATTGTTAAAGTAATTGCGGGTAAAACTGGGAGAAAAGGAGACAGCCCCTGGCAGGTAAGCAATATGAAATATCCAACTTGATCATGCAGCTGCTTTTAGAAGCAGAGCTTCCCTTTACCCAAGTGTTGACATACAAGCCAGGCATCTAGGCAAATGCTTGACTATCCAAAACTGAACACCAGTTTTACTGCTGTTCACTAGCAGTGATACAAAGTGCCCTGAGCAGTGAATTCTTGCAGCTAGTCAAGAAGGTCTGTATATTTGTAGGTCTAATTGTTGGCTTCTGCATTAACCTTAATGTGACAGTTGTCATAGCCATTTAAAAGCATTTCTGCCAGCCATCTTGATATCCAGAAGACCACTTCAGAACCACTGAATGGAGGACATTTAATAGAGTTGCCAGGTTGAACAGCCCCCAGTTTATAATTACGTATCAAATCTCCTTAACTTGAGGGTTGGGGAATCTATGGGCCACCAGATGTTGTTGAATCCCAGTTCCCATCAGTGCTAGGCAATGTGGCCCATGGTGATGGAAATTTTAGGTTTTTTAACATCTGGAAGGCCAGAGTTTCCCCTCTGCTGGCATAACATAATACAACAGCATGTTGGTCGACTATAAGGAAATGTAACTTTGATTGAACACATATGCAGACTTTGGTAGAATAAATGGTTTTGTTGAAGAACAAATCAAAGACATGGAACATTTGCTAGACATTGTGTAAGTATCTGTTCAGCACTAACATGGCATATCTTTGTACTTCCTGAATATTCCTCCCAGCATTTCCCACTAAAAATATTTTGATCACAAAAATTTCTTTCTGTGGGCATTTGTCATTTGATGTGGAACAGGAACTTCGGAAATATCTCATGTTAGGAATGCTCGCTGAGCAGTACTGAAACACATCATTACATGAACTGCTCTACTTCCTTTCTGTTGTAGGTTATGCTGAGCAACAGTGCGGGGAGGTTCAAATGTGGTGGTGTTCTCATACATCCTGCCTGGGTTTTGACCGCTGCTCATTGTGTGGTGGATGAACAAAGAATCAAACTGACAATGGGTAAGGAAAACCGTCATGGCTGCAACCCTTGTTATCAGAGACACCTTGGTCAGTACCTGTGAGATGCAATTCTACTAAAGGAATGAGCAAACCATTGGGACAAGCAGAATTGTCTTGGCAGGACTTAAGGGCTAAACTAAGCAGAGCTTAGGATGTTACTTTTAAAAGTAACTGCTTCCATTACTTCAAGTAACTAGAAGTCGTTATCATTGTCACTGCTGTGATATTATTGCTTTGCTCATAATAAGGCTGTTAAATTATTGTTGCCACTCATCTGAATCTGAATGTAGAAAGTTGGCAGGTTGGGGTGGGGTTCTGTTGTGTTCTTCACTGTTGAAATAGGGTTCCACTCCCCACTCAGAGAGCAGTGCGGGACTCAGTCTGCTGCTTCGGATGCAAAAATTACTGTATACCTCTTTTCTCGGTGACAAAGTGCTCTAATCCATTAGTCCCCAACCTTGGGCCTCCAGATGTTCTTGGACTACACCTCCCAGAAGCCTTCAACACCACCTCTGCTGGCCAGGATTTCTGGGAGTTGAAGTCCAAGAACATCTGGAGTCCCAAGGTTGGGGACCACTACCAACAGGACATATGGCCAGCTGCCAGCCATGTCTTCTGTAATCACTAGAGAGTTATGACCAGCGAAAAATGGAAATCAGTGCCAGAAGCAATTGCAGTCCCTGTTGACAGTTTTAGGTGGACTAGTTTAAGCCATCACCTGCCTTTTGTGCTTCACACCACAATGAAAGCTTGAGAAGATGAGAGCAAAAACTTTGGTTGTACTTAACAGACACTAAAGCAACTACAGTACTCAGCCTGAAGTGTTGTGTTTATAAACAAACAAACAAACAAACTGTGGAGTAGATGAAAATAGAGTTGAGAGGTTCTCTATTATTTCTTTCAATGCCTCAACACACCAAATATTTCACAATGTTGTCACTTCAAATAACACTAGCCACAGTTCTATTTTGGTGTGGATTAACTGTCCACACAGGCTACAGGACAGGCTAATGAGGAGTGCTCCAAATCTCACCCCCAAAAATTGTAGTCCTACTGCTGTGCCAAAAATTATAAGGGCAGCTTTATAAAGGGGGCTGGATGGATTGTTCTCGGTCAAAACAGGTGTGGACATTGTAAACTGAACAGCGCCAATCCAGTCAGAGGACTATTCTGCCAATGCAGACATGTCCTACGTTCCACATTCATGAGTGATGAAGTGAGACAAAGAAGAATGGGACATTTGCTTTGTGTGGAAGAGACCTAACTTACTTTAATCAGTAGTTGTAGAAGGAGTAGCCATGTTAGCCTGTGCAAGCATTAGAGGTGAAAACAAAATAATAAAAAGTAACAAAAGACAGAAACATTGATGGCACCTCAAAGACTAACTTTTATATTTTTTGATGTGAGCTTTTGTGGACGAATCCACTTCATCAGACGTAAGCGAAGCATGATGAAGTGGACTTGTCCACAAAAGCACACATCAAAAATTATAAAAGTTAGTCTTTGAGGTGCCACCACGTTTTTGTCTCTTTTTTAAAAAAACCTTAATCAGTGAATAATGGAACAATTGACTTTTCTCTTCTTCTCTTTGCCACTCTGTCCCATTCCATTCTGAATATATGCAACTAATCATCTTGCCCTGTCTTGCTCTCTGATGCATGCACTCTTTCTGGTAAATGCTTCAGCAAAACAGGTATAACACCCCCTGTTTCCCAAAAAATAAGATAGGGTCTTATTACCCTGTGTTTCCCCAAAAATAAGATAGGGTCTTATATTAATGTTTGCTCCAAAAAGTGCATAAGGACTTATTTTCAGTTGATGTTTTATTTTTTTCATGTACAACATTCTACATTTATTCAAACGCAGTCATGTCATCTTCTGGCTGCTGCACAATGGTGGTGGGCAGGGTTTCACTTAACTAGGGCTTATTTTTGGGGCAGGGCTTATATTACAAGCATCCTGAAAAATCATACTAGGGCTTTTTTTAAGGTTAGGTCTTATTTTCAGGGAAACAGGGTATTTATTTATTTATTTATTTTTTGTTTGTTTGTTTGTTTGTTTGTTTGTTTGTTTGTTTGTTTGTTTGTTTGTTTGTTTGTTTGTTTGTTTGTTTGTTTGTTTGTTTGTTTGTTTGTTTGTTTGTTTGTTTGTTTGTTTGTTTGTTTCCCGCCCATCTGGCCTAAAAGGCCACATATTAAATGAACAAAATGTTACAGAAATACAGAGTTTTTAATACTCTGTGAGAAGTCAAGTAGCAAATAGTTCATATTATTAATTTCAAGTTTCCTTACTCTGAGTTGCAGAAACAAGGTTAAATGCAGATCTTGTAACATTATTTTAAAGAGCTAGGCTGAACCTTCAAAGTCTTCTTAATATTTTTCTTTTAGTTGGCTTTTTTAAAACAAAAAAAGGCACTTCAAAATAGGAAATGTTTTACTAATAATAGCTAGTAAAAGGAAGCATGGTACATATTATGTTGTTTTCAGAAATTATTGATGCTATTATGGATTTTACTATCAACGGAACATGTTAGAGTAAGTCATTGTAACACATTGCTTCCAACCCCTGGGTTCTTTATTTTTTTAAAAAAGGAGTTGGCTTAGATGCCAGGAGTAAGTGCTCTATCCCCATGTTTCTCTTGTCTTCACAGGTAAATATTATCGTCTGCGAGCAGAGGACAGTGAGCAAGCTATCCTTGTTGACAAGCAATTGCCTCATGAAAATTACTCTGCAGAGACCTCTGACAATGACATTGCAATGTTGCACTTGGTCCATCCTGTTATCGTGAACAAGTACATAGTGCCCATTTGCCTGCCTTCCAAGAATCTAGCTCATCAAGTGTTGATGACAGAAGGGACAGAAACCGTAGTGACCGGATGGGGCAGCCAGAGTGATGATAACAAGAAGAATTACTCCTCTGTTCTCAAGTACATCGAAGTTCCTATTGCACCACATAATGACTGTATCCATGCTATGTCCAATTCCCTCTCCGAAAATATGATTTGTGCAGGGATAGCAGGAGATAAACGGGATTCATGTCATGGAGACAGTGGTGGCCCTATGGTTGCAAAGTTCAAGAATACATGGTTTCTAGTTGGACTGGTAAGTTGGGGAGAAGGCTGTGGTGATCCTAAGAACTTTGGAATCTACACAAAGGTCAGCTCTTATCTTGACTGGATCTATCAGAAAATGAAAACATAAGACTTTCTCACCAAACATAAAATCATGAAAAGAGGACTAAAGGCTGCTTTGAAAGTGTACAGAGAAGTATGCCCACTGTCTAATAAATACAGAATATATTAAAAAGGAGCATTTACTGTGTCTAGCATTTCTTAAAACAGTTCTTCTGCCTCATATATACACAGAGATGCTTAAAAAGAAGACCATCTCCTGGTGGGCTAATCAGTGCCTATTACTTGCTGGGATTTTTGCCAAGAATGTTGGGTCAAGCAGGCTGTGGTCTGATTCAGCAAAGGATTTCTTACTATGAAAAGCAAGAGGGCTTACCTAGAATCACTTCATAGAGATCAGTCATACCTAAACTGAAAAAGCAATACTGTAAATTTAAAACACAATTTCCTAGGGGGTTCTAGTTACTCATTGCTTTGGGCTCTAGGGTTAATTTCTCTACAAGTGACTATATTACCTCCTCTTCTACGAAGACTGAGACAATTCTCTGTGGCATTTACCCTTGTGGACCCTCCTTGTTTTTCCCTCACAGAGGCTCATGGCGCATTTTCTTCTTGCTGCCACCAGTGGATTATTTCAATCCACAATATAAATGACGTATATCAGAACACTTTTCTTGTGAACAGAAACAAAACTTATTTATTGAAGTGAAGTAGATTGAATAATAACAGAAGTTTCTCAGATACACATTATACATAAGTGATTCATCAACAATTCTCTCAGTACATACTTCTTTTCTCTTGGGATGTCATTACCACCTTCTCTACCTATTTTCCTAATCAGCTCTATCTCTCTGATTAACCCATCTATCTCAGTATCTCATCCCAATCTGTATCTCTCTGACCAACCAGCCTTATCTCTCTGACTAACCAGCCCTATCTGACTCCTCCTTCTCCCACCAAGCCTCATGTAGCTGCTGACTCCGCCTCTCCAGCCCTCTCATAAGTTCATGTAAAATCAGCTCATGAATATGAATAGCATGAATGACGTGAGTGGTCACAACATTCTCTCATTTAAACTTATACTTATGTCATGAGTGCTTCCGAAGACCTGGACCCAGAAGGGTTAACTGTGGCTGAAGAGAATGTGGAGAGATCAGAAACACCTGAACCACCTCCAGATTCTCCCTCCACAGCAGACAGGCTTCGGGGCAGGCTTCGGGAAAGACTTAGGACAAGAAGATCAGAGGATTGCTCAAAGGCTTTCCACAGAGACCTACGTTCATCTAGTCCTGAGTATTAGCAGAATAGAAAGCTTTCCAGCAGCTCAAGGAGCTGTTTCATTATAAAACAAGCTTCCAGTGAAGCCAGAAACTTCGTGGAAGCAAGGAGTCAAAACCTTGGCTTGCATCCACATTTCTTGCATCTTGTTCCTAACTCTGGACTTTGACCCTGGACTTTGGCCCTGGACTACGCTGGTATTGGACTCTGAACTCTGGACTCTGACCCTGAACTACACTGTGTATTGGACCCTGGACTTTGACATTGGACTTCATTCTGTAGGTTGGTTTCTGGACTTTGGCTTTGCATTCTTGATATCTCTGACCTTGGACTGGTTTATCGGACTTCGGCTATTGTAACCCCCAGGAACGTGACAACTTACAAGGATCCACTCAGCTATCCTCTGTCTGCCAAGTTTAACCAGCCCCAAGGATTTAAAATAAAGCAAACAAGGTATTGGCCAAACTTGACCAGGCACCTTGTCAACATTCCCGGGCAATAAAAACTGAAAGCTATTTATAAAAATCTGACCAGATGGTATTCTGGAGACTTCCTCAGACAGAGCCACATGAAAGTAGGATCAAACCATGATAGATCCAAGCAATGCTATCTTCTAAAATGTCTAGCAGACAAATCACAATATGTAGCTTAAGGTTCTAGAACGTCTCCCAGTGAACCAGGGCCACTTAGACAAGCTCTGCTGGATGACATGGAGAAAGTATGGCTGAGTGGGCTCATAGAGGCCAGCAAATGTTAAATAAGTAATTCTTACAGGTGAAACTTTTAATGACATCCAGCTAAATCATAATACCTGTGGGGTGTAGTAGAGGCTCTCAGTGTCCCTGCTTCGATGACAAAACACTCATGTAATACTCATATCACATTTTTATTTTTATTTCTATCCTTATATCAGGGTTGTGGGCAACACATAGCCTAGGAAATGCCACGAGGTCCCTCCTTCCACAAGTTAGAACAGAGCCTTTTAAAATAAAACAATATGGGAATAAGTGGGGATGGGATTCAGTGCAGCCTGCAAAGGTTCGATGTTGGGTGGGTGTGGCCCCTAGACCTCTGGAAATTGTCCATTTTTGGTCTGACTCAAAGATTACTGCAAAGGAAGTTGAACTTTACTAACTAATCTTGTGAGGTGGGAAGTAAGGCAACAGCAAATATATTAAGGAAATTACTGTATATCAAACACTTTTTGTTTCAAAAATGATATCTGCCCAAGATAAAGGCTTAGCTGTTATATGAAAGAGGAATCTCTCAAAATTAACCAGCTCAAAACCAAGCCATCTGCTCCTGAAGGAAGCACACACAACACAAATGAATTCAATTTGCATAGACCATAGACAGCTTTTGAGAGATGATTGAAGATGATTCAAGGAAGGGTGAGCACTTACATGTTGACGCAAAAAGTAAAAGAAATGGATATGAATACAATTTTGCATGCTGCTTTTAAAATGCATACATACACATTCAGAAACAAATACTGTAACTTAAAGACAAGTACAATCCATTTTGCCATAGAGGAGAAGCGGTGACCAGGTTCCTGTCTACCTGCTCAATTTACAGATTGTTGATGGCAAATTTCAAGGCCTTTGCTCACCCTCTTTATGATTCAGTGGTCAAAACTGTATGATTCTATATAGCAGTACACATTGCTGCAGTAAATGGCCACCGTCCAGAAAGTCAAGGCTTGCATTCTCTGTCATGCACCAGCTGTGTGATTTTGTGCGCAATGAGAAATATGATTGTTGACTCAAGTAGTAGCATTTTACTGCAGAAATTCCTATCATTTGACTTAGGTTGCCATACATACAATCATGGCCAAAAATATTGGTACCCTTGCAATTCTGACAGGAAATGCAACTCTTCTCTTAGAAAATTGTTGCAGTTGCAAATGTTTTGCTACTCACATGTTCATTTCTTTAGTTTGCATTGGAACAACACAAAAAAATAGAGATGAAATGTCAAATTGATACAATCTCACACCGATTTATTTGGGATGGTTTTTGTTGCTGCCTCCTGTACAATGTTACGTGCCTCCCTCCATAGTTCTTCAGGCACTCTGTCCACCAAATCGAGTTCCTTAAATCTGTTCTTCTCTTCCACTGGGTATTCATAAGGGATTTGGTTTAGATTATACCTGACTAGCCCAGTGGTTTTTTCTACTCTCTTCAGTTTAAGCTTGGATTTTGCTATAGGAAGCTGTTGATCAGAGCCACAATCAACTCCAGGTCTTGTTTTTGCTGACTGTATAGAGCTTCTCCATCTTTGGCTGCAGAGAACATAATCAATCTGATTTCGATATTGCCCATCTGGTGATGTCCATGTGTAGAGTCGTCTCTTGTGTTGTTGGAAAAGAGTGTTTATGTTGACCAGCTTGTTCTCTTGACAAAACTCTATTAGCCTTTGCCCTGCTTCATTTTGAACTCCAAGGCCAAACTTACCTGTTGTTCCTTTTATTTCTTGACTCCCTACTTTAGCATCCCAGTCCGTTATAATGGGTGTGTGTGTGTGTGTGTGTGTGTGTGTTGTTCCAATGCAAACCAAAGAAATGAACATGTGAGTACTAAAACATTTGCAACTGCAACAATTTTTCTGAGAGAAGGGTTGTATTTTCTGACAGAATTGCAAGGGTGCCAATATTTTTGGCCATGATTGTAAGTATCTTTTAACTGAACTTGGACTGGGCAGTCATAAGGAGCAGAATATGCGACCGCCCTACATGTGGACAAGGCAGGGGAATGGAAATTCAGTTGGGCATCTACTCACACCACCATCATCTGGAGAGACTACTATGAACAGCCTGAAATAATTCTGTTGTTCCAACATTCATATCTTCCCTTCTTTTTGTCCTGTATATCTTGACAGGTTAAGACCTATTTATTAGCATTTGCCTTTACAGTTGTTTTACCTTGAGTTGTAATGTCCTACTTCAGCTTGTTTCATAGTGGTTTTAATCTGTTTTTGGATATTTTGTATATTTTACTTGTAAGCCAAATTATGGGCCATGGTTGAAGAGGAACTAAGCAATGCAGCCAATCAGTTGGTAAATTTATACCTTAAATTTGCATAACTACCTCTAAAGTCTTGGTTAAAAGGTAGTATATATATATATATGTATGCAGCAAATAATAAATATGTATATTTCCTTCTGCACCTTCTTTCAATATATTAAGTCTATTTGGTGACTTGTTTAGACTTGCTAAAAGACCATATAGGAAGTAAGAGTGTGATCAGATGATGAAAAACACGTACATCTGACCACACAGGAAAGGGTGAATTTGTGGGGAATGATCTCCTTTAATCCAGCCCTCCCGTCTGTCCATCCTGGCCCCCAAAAGTGGTAGTCCTACAGGTGGACTAAAAAGGTCCAGCTTGGGCATGGATCATGTTTGGGCTGGAACACAATTCCCCATATATCATGTAATCACTAGGAAATAGATCTCATCAGGCTGTTCCACAAGAGATCCAAAATGCAGTCTATTTCCCTGTGTGGTCACCTTGTAACTCTGAGTAAATCTGGCTCTGGGGAAGTAATTTTTATTCCTTCTTCTTCCAGAGCACAATCTTTTTGCCCCCAAGTAAAGCTATAGAATTGTTTGGTGGGAAAGTTTACAATGTGTTAGGAGCATCATCTGGGTATTGAAAAAGAAAAAGAGGGCCTTCCAGTGAAAAAATTAAATGCTACAGAATTGTAGCATATAAGAAAGTGTTCAGATCAAAGAAACGGCATTGTAAGGATTTTGTTTTTTTAGCTTTGAAATCAGATGTTTTTCTTTGGTGTGGAATGTTTGCTTTCTATAGCATAGTGAAAGAGATACTTCTTTGTCAATATTTGTGGTAGATTAATCATCAACAAATAAATTCCCGTTGCTTTCTTTGTAATTGATCTAAATATCACTTTGTCCTTCCTACCCGGGTAAGAGAGCACAGTATTTTAATCTTGCAGCTTATTAGGAGGGGGGCTGTTGTTGTTGTTTTTTTTAGAAAAAGGGGAGGAGACATCTACAAGAAGGGTCCATGCATATTTTCTTTTCCCTTTAATCCAAACCACTTCATGTGTGATGAGGTTTCACTTGTTGTGTGTCCTTTGTAAATGTCGAAAGTACCTTTATTACTTGATAGCTGGCATTTCTGTCAATCGGCAACTGTAAGGGAGAGAATGGACAGCTTGCTTCTCGAAGTTCAAACAGGTTAGTGAAAGATGCCCACCTCTGCCTGCTCGGTGGAGCATCAATGCAAGTCTTTACAGTCCAGTATAGCTCTACTTATACATCCAGACTGGCTGTTTTATTAAATGCTTCTGTCTCCTTTAACATGTGGCATTTGCTGCCAGTGTAAGGATTTGAGTTATCATTCCAATACATTTAACTAATTTATTTTATGAAATTTCAAAGCTTTAGTAGTTGCAAAACATGTTTGGCTGTTAATTCCTTTTGTTTCCACATTGTTTTTCCCTCTTCTATCCCCATCCTGCAATTTTTACATCGAGGCAAACTAGACAACACATATCTAGAACGTAATTTGAACTACAGCTCCCCAAAGTGGCAAAATACATATTTGTATCCTAGCATGAGTTTTCCTGACCTTGTATGCAATAAATTATTTCATTTTGTGATTAATTTCATGATCAGGACAGGAGATAAACATCGATATCATTTGAAAATCTAATTACCTTGCATGGATCTCTGAAATAATTGTCTTTCTTTTGAGAAAATTTAATACTATGGAATATTATTTTGTCTTAACGTGTCTATTTCTGGTTCTTTCTCATCTCTCTTATGTAGGTCATACCTAGTCATTTTTTATTTTGTTTTCTCTGTAGGCGACTTTTCTGAAAGCACAAATGTTGTAACCATTTTGTCTAAATAATGGCCAGAGCTTCCTTTGGTGCAGCATTTCTTTTACTGACCTTCTACAGCAACCTGTCGTATTCATTGTCAGGTGGGTATATCTATTATTGATATAGCTGTGGCTATAATGATATGGTTTTCTAGGTATACTCTGAAGTGATTTGCTATACCTTTCTTCTGAAGGTGCTCTGGGGACTGTATAGCTTGCCCAAGGCTGGCTGTTCTCCTGGGAAGCACAGTGAAGATTTGAACCTCTAACCTCTGGGTTTACTGTACAGCCAGATACCAAACTCACTTAGCTGCCCAGCCAGATAGCTAAGGAGTAGAGATTTTTTTAAAAAATGTTTATTTACAACTGAGACCTAATATCTTGTGCTAACAACGTTTGACTGTTACTGTAAGGAAAATTATGTCCCAAATCAATATTGTTGCCTCCATTTCCCTCCATAATTACTTCTCTCTGGTTATGGTCAAATCATAATTAAATATCTTAAAATATTTTCCCTTGTATTATCACTTAGTTCTGTGTAAAAAGCAAGTGGAAAATGACTCCTGTGTCAGCTAGTAATTCATTCTAAGCTCAGAGGTGCTTACTCTTTAGTACATGCCTAGGATTAGCCTGAATTAAACAAACAAGTTTACTAGTGTTAGCTCATTCTCTTTTCATAGTTTTTAGGGGGAAAAATGAGGCGAGCCAGTTTCTGAGCATTCATAAACGGGCTAACCAGTTTTTGGAGGAGTTTCGACCAGGAGATCTGGAGAGAGAATGCATGGAAGAAAAGTGTTCTTTTGAGGAGGCAAAAGAGATTTTCAAATCACAGGAAAAAACGGTAAGAATGTAAACATCAGGAAATTTAAAATGTTGTAGCAATAGTGAGATACAAGGAAGTTCACCTCTCTCCTATTCCACTAATTTAGAGTTACTATAACCAAAAGATCTATAGTCAGAATATTATTTTCAGGTACCAACATCTCAGTTCCGCCACATGAAAATCCATTCTAGCTTGGTTAGTTAAATTTTCTTAATTTTCCGTAAATTAATTCTAGTTAAACCAATTTCATTTAGGGTTATAGTTAATATCTTGTGGCTGTTACTGGTAAACCATTAAGAATCAAATTCTTTGTCAATCTACTGCTGATTTCCCAAAAATCTCCCAGTATATCTGGATCTCTTTCCTGCCCTCTCCTGCTCTGTGGGCTGTTTCTACTCCCTCACAAGTGTCTGAATTATCTTCCAACAGAGAAAAGTTTAATCTAGTCAAGCTGAAGAGGTTTGCATCATACAATGCTTTTGGCCTATCTCCCAATATGCTCATTTTTACAATTATTTTGCAGGTGGAGTTTTGGTTTGATTACAAAGGTAGGACTTTCGTTTGGCTTTGTTTTGGTTTTTTGCTCCTTTTCTGTGTTTTCTGTTCTGTGTATGAGGTGAGTGATCACTAATGCAAAGCAAAGGCCTTGATGGCTTCAACTGGCCTCCTCCCCTTTGACCTGCCATTATTTACTGAGCACATTTTTGTTCTGGTGGGATTTTGTTCTGCTGGGCTAAACTGTTTTAGCTCGTAGTCTTTACTTATACTTACCTGGGAGCACTTTCCATTTAATTTTAAGATAACCTCTGCAGAGATGTATGCAAGAGTTCTTTTCTTATGTAGTTCCAGAAGAGAAATGTATGATATGTAGAGGTTTTTCCCATGATGTATATGTCTCGATTCTAATGTTCAATCCTGTCCCCCATAGCCCTTCTGTGCCCTTAAAACTTGCTTCAGAAGGCTGGGAAACCATCTAGAGCACGTTTTCCATATTATGGAGAATGGGAAGAAATGAAAGGATTGATTTCATTGATGGAAGCCAGATAGTCTAATGGAAGTGGCTCACTGCATCCTCATAAACATGTTTGCCTGTCTCCCTTCAGAGTCATGGCCAAAGACAATTTAATCTAAACATCTGCAACTTGATACACACATTAAGGGAAACATTGGCTTCCAAAATGCATTAATTAGTTTTAAGTAATTGTGATATTGCTGTGTTTCCAAAGCTGCAGCAACATGTTCAACCAGTGAATGTCATGTTTCCTTAACAACTGAATAGATTCGCAAGTCAGAAAGCAAAGTCCAAAGGACAACATAATCTAGGACTACAGTCACTCCCTTGCTGTGGGTCAGTTCCACCACTTTGGATATGAATTGATAGGTTGTAGGTATGAACCATGATAGGATGTATGCCTATAGTTCTCAGCTGATGTGGAGAATACACTATTTCTAGTTTTGACAGTTGTGTAACTTGGCTTGAAGGTTTCAGTTTAACAGACCAAAGATCATTTTAGCCAATGCCATTGCAAGAACATTTGATAATTACCTCTGTAAATATATACAATAAACTGCCTTGATTTTTATCCCACTTTCTTTTCAAGCAGATTTAACTCCTTGTAAAGAAAACACCTGTAAAAATGGTGGAGTCTGCAAGGTTAAATACTATATGTATTCCTGCACTTGTCCGCCAAGGTTTGGAGGGCAACACTGTGAAATAGGTAAGTGTGAGATACTGGCTGAGAATGCAATTAGAAAGACATTTGCCCTATGATTTGGTCCAGGTTGGAGATGGGCTGGTTTGCTATTTTTCCTTCAGATCACCTGATGTACGTTCATTGCAACCCAGCCCCTTCCTCATCATTACCTACTTGCACCTTTTTGGGTTCCTATCAAGGGTTACTGTTTTTTTTGGGGGGGGGGTAAGATCACTCCATTTTGATGTGGGTAGAATCACTTCAATTCTAGTGGATATAGTCACTGGACCAAACCAAAGCAAATAGCTTTGGTTAAGTCACTTAACAATCTTGGGAAACGGAAAAGCTTAATTCCCCCTCTCCTGCAATGGGAAGGAAGAAGTTTTAAATTTCTTTTTATTTGTTTTAAATGAGTCAGTGATGCTTTGAAATGGCTTTTTATAGCCCTTTCAAAGCATTGCTGATGCACTGTGTCAGTTAGCAATAATTAAAGAGATTGAAAGCTTTGTCTTTGAGGGAGGCAAGATCCTGCAGCTTTAGGCAAGGCATGGAGGGTGATTGTTGTTGTTTTCTTTTCCTTTAAAGGGAAAGAAGCTTGGCCTAGATTGTGCTGAACAGGATTGCTTGTGGTGCAGTATGGTTGACTCTTACATATGGATGCAAAGATTAGCACAACTGATATAGTGCACATGAAAGCAACCCTGTTTATCATAATCTAGACCCATTCAGGCCAGGATAATTATGCCATCTAGTCACACCCTGAGTCTAACATTAGCTAATCTGTCCAATACTCAGGGCTTTTTCCTATCTTGACTAATACAGCAATGCTGTATTGTAAAATTTGTAAATCTGTATTGCTATATTGTAAGTCTATCAGCAGGATTCCTGTTTTCAGATGTGCCTACTCAGACCTTAAAAGCTTCTTCAGAGTCCATTAAGAATTGTAGACAAAAATAAATAACTTTTCCAAGTTTCACAAATTGGTAAGCCAGTAGCATTTAGGGAGCAAATATAGTTTTGAGAGATGATTTGAATTCCTTGCTACTTGTCATTGACAACTTGCAGTAATAACTATTAAAAAGCTAACCGTGTTGCAGGATAGCAGTGACGACCCAAGTAAAATATGTAATTCTCTAATATAGAGAAAATGGAGTGCTGGTACAAGAATGGTGGCTGCTTGCAATATTGCAAAGATATCGAACAATCCCATCACGTGACCTGCTCCTGTGCATTAGGATATACACTAAGTGATGATGGGAAGACTTGTACACCATCAGGTAATTGTGAATTCTTGCTGATTGTAAAAGGTGATCTTAGATCTGCAGTGAGATATGACTCCTCTGCCCGCCCCCCATTCATGCAGCTCAAGGGAAGAGCAGTAAATTGGCAAAAACTGGGCATTGCCATTTTGGGGAGTCACCATTACTATTTTTTAAAAGGTGCAGGCCCCATCCTTGCAATGTATGCCTGTCCTACTAGACTCTCCAAAGAAGGGGATTTTTGGCTATCTTGACTACGAAGCCATGGTGAAGATTGTCAGGAACGCGCTTGTTTATATTTTTAGAGTCTCCCTCAAATGATTTATTGGGATGAAGGGGGCGGGGAGAAGATCCTCCAATATACCGGAACAGTTTGTTTAAAAGAAAAATGTAACAGGTCCATAAGACGGTTCATTGCCTGCATTTCAAGAAATGATACACACATGAGGGAATGGGGCAGAATCTAATGACTTAGTGCTCCTTTTAGTTGTCACAACAGACTTCCTTATGCTCAGTGGACTTGTCAAATTTTCTCTCCTTAAGACCGTTTCCCCTGTGGGTTGCTTAAAAAATTGACACGCTCCTATGAGGAGGGATCAACGGAAGACAACGGAACAAATGCTTGGAGGTTGCCTAGCCTGAATGAAACAATAGCCCAAGAGAACCTGCCCACTTGGAACCAGACGTTAGTTCAGGCCTCCTTGTCAGAGCTGAACCAGACAACAGCACAAGGAGAGATGGAGGAAGAAGGGGTTGAAGAGATGTGGGGAAATTTCACAGAAGAGGATTTACAAAGCTGGCCAAACTTCAACTCTACTGATGAAGGAGATTATACCAGAATAGTTGGGGGCACTTTCTGTCACCCTGGAGATTGTCCATGGCAGGTACATTTCCTTTTCTTGAAGGTTTTGATAGAATGGACTCACAATGTTGGAAATACAGTAGGATCCCCATATCCGTGGGATCAGTATTTGTAGTTTATCTGTGGTCTTAAAATATTTAAAATATTTAAAGGAAAAAACCCCACAAATATGCATTTCCACAATGTAATTACCAGAGGGAGCCAGACACCATGCAATGGATAGGGTTTGCTATTATCTACGATTTTCGACATCAATATTTTTACTGATCAAAGACACTAGTAACTTTTTTTATCATTAATGTGTAGGGAAGGCGTCAATGGGGAGACCCTGGCTGCACACATTCTAACCCTTCATGGGTTGGATTAACTCCATGGGAACGAGAGCCATCCTCCCTCACTTTAAACCAACATATAAAACACAATATCTGGAATTCTGTTGCTTAGCACAGTAAGTTGCATGTGACTCGGCCCATTACATCAGTGGGGATTAGGCGAATTATTTCCTTTTTAAGTTCCATTGATTCTAGTTGCAACTTACTAAGTCACAACTAGAGTAAGCCCATTTAAATCAATGTGGTGCGGAGGAATTGACTCTCCGCTGTGACTTACTGTGCTAAAGAACAGGATTTTGGCCAGTGTTCCATTGTGCAAACAGGCCATCTGTGTAATTGCTACAACCACCCCCTTGAATGCTACAGTGGTACCTCACTGTGTTTTTATAAAACTTTTGTCACTATTGAGAATAACACAACAACCAAATTGTAAGAACTGAACATTTCTGCATAGGTATTTCTTCAGATCTCCCTACACTGGACACGACACAAATCCGAAATACAAACAGGGCAACTTCATTTTATTTTATTCACCTTAGAGTGGAAAGTTAAGAGATTTATAAACAGACAAGTAGTAAGTAGGATTAAATGCAAAGAAAGCATTTACTACAAATTTTACCAACATATGAGCATAAGTGAGATCTAGAGTAATCTTAATTGATTAGATAGGCAGGATATAAAATAAATAAATAAATAAATAAATAAATAAATCTAAACATGCAGGTATACAGACATAAATATACGGTATAATGAATCATTATATAGAGGGAAAAAATACTACTAGTTATCAGAGGTGGGGGTAGGTAGAAAAGAGAGTGCTATTACTCACAAAAGGTAATTTTCACTAAAGACTAAATGCCATACACTAGGAAGAGAGTTTTTTCAGTTATCATACATGCTGGGACCCACCATCCCCAGCCAACAATTGTATTATGGGATTTGTAGTGGGTAAAACCATTAAAAATTACTGACAAGATAAATGTTAAAATGGCAAAAATAATACTTTGAAGGGGCCAATAAAAACATGGCATAAAGAATTGACAAACACACTTGCCCACTATTTTCTGTTTATTTAAAAATGAATGATATTATTAACAAATTATTTAGCCTCAGTTTAACTAGACAGACAATTTTTTCCTTCAGAATTAACATCAAAAAATGAGTCTCCCCTTTCTAATTTTAAATGTACAGTTTCCAAGATCCATTCTTCTTTTTTAAACTAGAGTTTGGAGATGCACCAGCCAGTAACTGGTGCAAAAGAAACATATGTAGAATTAAATATATTTTTATTCTAGTGATTATTTGAGTAACAGAATGGAACTTGTACTTTTTGCATGTAAAAAACCAACACATTCCAGCTTGTTTTCCCCATTCATTTCTGCAATCTAATTCAGGACCAGATAAGTCATTTTACTATCATTGTTTTTTTTTCAAAGAAATGTAAATCCTTGTCGATTTCCTGCAGATTTCCCAGATAGCTACCAATAAAGTAAAAAAAAAAAGCATGCCATTTATATACCACCTCATAGCATTTAAAACACTCTCTGGACAGTTTATAATTTATTATGTAGGCTGCACATTGCCTTTGTCCCTGAAAGCTGGATGTGACTTTGGAAAGATGGAAGGCTGAATGAACCTTGAGCCAGCTGCCTGGGATTGAACAGAGTTTTGTCTGCAGTACAGTGGGGTCTTGACTTGAGAACTTAATCCGCATTGGAAGGCGGTCCTCAAGTCAAAAAGTTCTCAGGTCAAATCTGCATTTCCCATAGGATTGCATTGAAAACCATTTGATCCGTATCTGCTCTTTTCTGGCCATAGAAACTAATGGAAAGCTGCTATTCTGCCTTCGACCACTAGAGGGGGATATTTTGTTTCTTTTTTTCTTAGGTCACTAAAGGTTCAGGGAAGGCAGGGAAAATACAGTCCAGGCAGTCTGAAGACTGTCTCCCAATCCACTCTCTAAACGCTGGGAGGAGTGAGCAAGCAGACAGGCACCCTTTTCACTGGCCAACAGTTAACTGAAAGTTCAAATTTTGCACTTTCCCTGCCTCCCACGTGTTTTTTTTTTCAGTTCTTAACTCAAATCTAAGTATGTAAATCAAGTCAATATTTTCCTATGAGAGTGGTTCTTAAGTCAAAATGTTCTTAACTCAAGCCGTTCTTAAGTCAAGACCCCACTGTACTGCAGTTTAACCACTGCACCACAAGGCTCCAATACCACCAATCTGTGCCTTCCGTGGCTTCTTACCAGTTTTCTCCATCCTTGCAGGGAGTAAGTAATTAAGTATTGGATTGGATCAATCATCCTTTGTCCTTTTTCTTCCTAGGTATTAATCCAAACTAAAAGAGGATATGGTTTCTGTGGGGGCAGTTTAATCAGCAGTCACTGGGTAGTAACAGCTGCACATTGCCTTGATACAGTTATTCCACACCAGGTTACTGTAGGTGAGTGATTCAAAGCCACAGGCTTTACCAAAAGGTAAAGGTTTCCTATTTTTCTGAAACACATTTTCCCAGAATGCCATGTAAAAACCTGCAGTGGATTCTTCCATCCTGGAGTAAGTCCCAACCTTCCTATTTTTTTTTTTTTAACATGAATGTGTTTGTAACCTATATGGTCAGAGATGTAAGTCTAAACACAAGATACCATAGTTCTTCAACATGGTTCTTAGCTACCAAGTAATTTTTCACCTTGTGAATTTTGGAGGTGTAGTAAGAGCCTTGTTATCTAATTCCAGTGGGATGAAACCATTTTGGATATACACAATAAATATTTTAACAGTAGATTTGGAACCTCTACCTTTTTTCCTAGATAGCTCCATGGTTTAAGTATCTGGCTGCAGAGCCAGAGGTTGGGAGTTCGATTCCCCACTGTATCCTCTTAACAAGGGACGGACTTGATGATCCAGGGATGGGGGAGAATTTAGCAGCAGCAGTGTAGTTCTAGCTCTGTAGTTCTAAGGTGGTGATGATAATTTTCTTGGGGCTATTTCAATTCAGTTTCAATTCTTTCTGCTTACCAACTGGTTGAAGACCCCAATGCTACAGCATTGGAATTGTTTGTTGTTACATTCCTATATTTGTCCCTCTGTGTGTGTGTGTGTGTTAGCTGTAGGGATGAATTCAATAATGTACCCATTTGTGATTGCCTTTCAGGAGACTTTGACAAATATCAGAGAGAACGGCATGAACAAAAGGTGGGCGTGCGACAATTCTGGCGGCATCCTCAGTATGTTTCGAACAGTTATAACAATGACATTGCTTTGCTCCGCCTGACCAGTGACGTCGTTTTCAGCCACCACGTAATTCCTATTTGCCTCCCCAACTCTAATCTAGCGACTCTCCTGCTTGAAGGGAACATCCAGGGAATGGTCAGCGGATGGGGTTTCACTCACACCAAGGGGAAGCTGACTCGCTTTCTCATGAGGGTGAAGTTGCCTGTTGTGAGCATGGAAACTTGCAGACAATCAACGGAGAAAATAATTACGGACAACATGTTTTGTGCAGGTTACTTTGAAGAAAGTCAAGATGCCTGCAAAGGGGATAGTGGGGGCCCGTTTGCTGTTCCTTATCGTGGCACATGGTATCTCCTTGGGATTGTCAGCTGGGGGGAAGGCTGTGCTGAAGTGGGAAAATATGGTGCCTACACACGAGTATCCAATTATCTTTCATGGATAAAAGACGTTATTGACAGTGTGGATGAGGCTAGGTAATTTCTACAGATACTGAAATGAAAGCTCTTCAATATAAAATGTAGACATTGCACATTTGATTCATTTGTGCAGCAAAAAGTATTTGGATGCAATTAGGCTGCAGGGCTGGTGCTTCACTGCTGCTGCTAAATTCTCCTCCCATCCCAAAATATTATATGAAATGATTTTTTTATATAAACACAGCGGATGGTAAAAAGCTAGTTGCAGGTAGAAATAGCTTTCTTTAGTGGAATGTTCCCTTAAAGTTAGAATAACTGCAGTTATTAATTTTTAGTTGCTTTGGTCTCTTAAAAAAAAACCCATTGGGGAGAACCCATAACATCTTCTCTGACTGTGAGGCTGCTAGAAACAGCAGAGAAATGGGGGAGGCTGTTGAGGAAGAAGGGATTCCCCTGAAATCAATTGATTTCTCCCTTCCCCTGGACTGCTGACTAGTCATTTAACAGGATTCTTCCACCACCACCGGCCTCCATATAGTACAGTACTTGCAAAGGATTGCTGTGGGACAGAGAGGCTTGAGAAGTCTGCTTCCACCAACACAGTTGTCATTATGTCCTGAAAACTCACTTCTGACTCATGGTGGCTTGTAGCAACTTTGCCCATGTCTTGCAAACTAACTAAAGGCTGTGGAGTCAATCCATTTAATGTTTTGCCTTCCTCTTTTCTTGCTGCCTTCAACCTCAGCCCTCCCAGTAGCCTGTCCTGCAAACGTGGGTCCATCTAAAATGGACCTGGGATGTGAAACAGGGAAGAACAAAAATGGAGCACAAGTGACCAGGCACTTTTTTCTCTCATGCGCCTTAATGTAATGCTTCCAGGGGCTGGTTAAATGGCTGTTTCCTCTTGATATAGTAAACTGTGGTTTAATCTCTGACAGCAAGCCAAGAAGGCAGTCAGAATTCTGAACCACCTTCGTAGTTTCAGAGAAAGAAAATGGTGTAATTAATTGCAGATGTGTTGCGTTAATGCATAAGAACAGGAAACATTTGGGAACAAGGTAAACTAACGGTGGCTAATCAGACTGAATGTTGTGACTTGGACCTTGATAGCGGATACAATTAGTTCACTATTACATTAAATCCACCTGTTAGCAAGTCAAATTCTAGAAAGCGTTTGAATTTAAAAATATTTTTAAATACTGCACAATATCCCCCACACCCTAACTTCCTAAACACATGGCACAGCCAGCTATTGTAAAGTGCTGCTCAAATCTCAATATGGTGCTGGAAACAAAGTACAGTAAGAGGAAACTAAGTCATTTTGCCTCAGAAACGTTAGGAGGAAAGTGTGAGTATAAAAACTCCAATTGTTATTCTGTGGTTTATGGATGTTATCACTTCTGTATCATTTATAGCTAAGTCCTTGCTTTTTCTAGACCACAGTTCCATGTTTTTCCTTAAATAGCAGTTGTTTGGAAGTGATTGGTATTCTTTTGGCACCAAAGAAGTATTTGATGGGGGATGCAGTCAGCTCTTTTCCTCTTCTACTGGCACTCATTCATCAGTCACTAAATCCTGATACATGTTAAAAGCTTTAGTGGGTTTATCATAGGTTGGATGAGACACTGAGGAAATCCTTATATTTATTAGATCCATATATAACAATAAGGAATGGGGCTGAGGGAAAAGAAGTGCTAGGATTCTGTAATCCTTAAAAAAAAATCTTGAAAGTTAATGTGTTACCTGGACTTTGTTCCTAAAGCAGCCTGTTCGTTCCCACACTTCAAATCACCAGTCCACAGATCAAGTAAAAGAACTCTACAGGACCTAAGCCTTGGGAATATGGTAACAAGGGGAAATGTCTTTTGGTGAGGTGAGCTAAAATCATGAAGCAATATTCATCCACCTGGCATCCTGAGGTCGAAGACATTCATTTAAACATAAAGGGTGTACACATTTTGTGAATGAGATCTCCCCAGGAAACCTATTGCGAGGCCGCGTCTTTGTCTTCCTGCTGTACTATGACTCTACTTTAATTCTGCATCCAAGTTCGCGCTTTTAAGTTTTTCATCTCCTTCTGTTATGAACTGGACTAGACTGTCCCTCTATCCATCTCTCTTTTGTGGAGTTATTGAACATACATAAAACACACCCTCTGACTAGAAGCGGCACACAGAATATTTCAACTGGTTGTTGTTTTACTTCACACATGATCACTGATGTAGTCTGGCAAAACAAAGGATTATATCCAGCAGCTTGTTCAATTATAATAGTTACAATGACTAAAAGGGACAGTGACATCCCCTTGATTCAGTTAAGTCCATAATGTCTAGGACTGGCAATAGGAATTAACTTAAAGGGGAACTTTTGCAGTTCAATCCTACACATGCTGAGCTTAATTATAAGAGTTTAAGGAACAAATGTTTTCCTTCCTTATATGGAAATCCTTATTAATTCTTAATAAATATGTTTATGAAGCCTTAGTCTCTCTTAATTGTTCCAACACTTATACCCATTTTTACAGCAGCTTACAGTTAAAAGATCCCATAAATGAGTATAAGGCATATATATGTACTAATGCAGTCAACACATTAGAATCCCATCAGAATGCAAATAGGAATGTAAACATTCACTATGCCTACTGTATACTCCTAAAAGTGTATTGACAGATTATTAAAAATCTGTAAGGTGCATTTTGTAACAAGGTGAGCATTGCTGTCTCAATGCACCTACCCAAACTCACCTATTGACTGTAGTCAGTCACCATTCTGTTTGAGGCTTAAGCCCTTCTGGATGAGACAAACCATAATACAGTTCAGAGAATACTGGGATACTGTTGCTATCAGAGGTCTTGTTTTCAATAGACTGACATGTGCTTTAATACGTAGGGTATGACTGAACAACTGTAAAGGACACCTAAATTCCAAATGCCGAACCTTCATGAGAGTTTAGCACATTGAACTTCAACTGGCATGGATACCTAACTTTTAAAATACAACATGTTACAATATTACTTGAGGTTGCTCCTATCATATTTTGATAGAAGAGGTTAATTCCATGTTATGTGAAAGCACTAAAAGAAAAGGGAATACTCTGGATACAGTTATTAAGCTGAACATATGAACACAGCAGTCTTTCTCTCTCTCTGTATATTGATACTGTAGTTGACATTTTCTAATACGCTATATCTTCGCAATGTACACTGATTTCACCAAGTACTACACAAGCCAACACATCCAAAAGAGATTTTAATGTTTGAGGTTGGTTTCATCTGTACAAAGGACACACAAGATCAGGGTTAAATACAATTGTAATGAACAATGTTTCAGGATTCATAACCCTCCGTCAACATGTAGTACAACCAGCTGCAACGACAATTTGAACAGACACTTAAAAAACCCAAAGTTTATTTTCTTAAAAATGCAGACATATTCCAAGAGTCTATAGGTGTACTTCTTACAGCAGAATGCAAAGATAACTCTGGGGAGGGTCACAAAGGCATTTTGTTGCCTTCAATGCTGATTTTCACAGCATGGGACGTTCTGCTTTTTTTCCTGATGTCTGTGAACTTTCGCATCTGTTTGTCCAAGCGGCTTATTCCTTTCTTAGAGCTTCCCTGGAACTTGAAAGGAAACAAAGGCATTACTCTTAAGAAAGAAATTGCATCCTCCTAAAAACCGGACAGCTTCATGCATGATAAAATCTTCAAGCAAATGCTATACTTCAATACAGAAACTTATAAAGCACAGAATAATTTAAATAGTATATCTTCAAATGAAGGGCAAGATGTGTAAGTATGAAGCACATATGCACAAATCCAAATTCTGCCATCAGAAAAATGATTTTGCTGTTTCAATCTTTATAAGTTCAAGTAGCACAGCATCTGACATTCTTGTAATATGGAATTAACAGGTACAGACAGTGTCACTTTTTTAAAAACTATGAATTTTATAATGGAAGACAAGAAGGCTTATTCCAATATCCTCCCTTTTAATGAAAAGAGGATTAACACAATATGTTCATGGATTATTGCAGTGGACAGAGAAAGAACCTACAGAAACACTGGCTAGGACGACAGTTTAGAACTTGGTTTCGTATTAGTCCCCCCCAAAATTTGCAGTACATAGCCTGCACAACTGATTAAAAGAAAGGGTACAGGAAGCTACTTTACAACAGATCATACCACTAGTCCATCCAGCCTAATAGGGTTCACCTAACTGGCAGCTATTTCCTATTTTGAATCAAGGTCTTTTCTAACACTTGTTACCTGAAATCACTTGAACTAGAGATGTGTGTTACATTGAGGGTCATTATACAATTCATCATCAAGGCTGAAATCATGCTAGACATCAAAAGATGTGACTGAAGCAATGTCTTGTTTCTGAGAGCAGAAACAGACATTATAAACAGTCTGTAATTAGAGCTAAAAGCACATTAATGTTGGAGAGAAGTAGAAACCTGTGCTTGTCCTAAAAAGCAACTGCTTTTAAAGGCTAGTGCAAAAATAAAGCAAATTAGCTTGTGAACTATGGGAGGTGAAAACAATTCCTACTGTGACATCCACACACGGTCAATACCTAAGGATTTCCTCTGCTTGTGAAGAGCTTATACAGTACAATAGGGCACTCTCTTTCCACCAGCTGGATTACTTCTCCCCTTCTATTCCTTTGAGAGCTTGGACACAAATATACTAGCAATAGCCAATCCTTGCATTTGAAGCAACTCACCCCCATTCATGCCATGGGCAATACAGAACAGCAGATAACTGTGACTCTCAGGCAGAAACTATGTACATGTAGAAAATCATGTATTTCCCACATGATTTCTACAGCAAGAGTTATAGCATTTTGGAGGAACGACTCATTAGTTTGAGCATACAAAATGTCAAATGCAGTACTGAAACTGCTACTGCAAGCTCCCCCATCTGAATATTAGTGGGCAATGGAGATAGGCTGAGATGACATAATGGTTTGAAATTAATTCAATTAATTTGTAAATTAAAATAAGGCTATAACCCAAGTGAATACTTCGAAGGAGACCCATGACCAAAAAGAGTGGCCAATCTTTCACCTACCCTTGAAAATCTGTTTTTAAATGGATTAAAAGGAGGATGAAGCAACGACTGGAAATAAATATTACGCTCCCAGTATTTTTCTTAAATAGATGAGCCTGAGAGATAGAAACTTGTTCAAGTCGGTTCCGTGAACAGCACAACTGAACAGCTATCTGAATTTTGGCCTGATGATATTGAATCTAAGCTTTATTTAGAGGCAGGACAACTAAATACTGGTTATCAAGAAGTCGGAATGTGTCAAGAGAAGGGATGGTAAAGATGCTGCGAACCAAGCCCTGTGAGGAATGGCTGAGATAATGAGATATGTTTAGCCTGGGGAAAAGAAAATCATTAGGTACAACCACTGTTTCCAGCTATTTTCTTATATTTGAGCTATTGTCGTGTGGAAGGTAGAACAAATTTGTTTTCCGTCACTCCAGAAGGTATGATTTGAACTAATGGATTCAAATGAGAAAAGATGTTTTGATTACACATTAGGACATCAGTTCTGGAAATAACTGGAGAGATCTTTGGAGCCAAGTTAAAAAAATTAGCTGGATATTCAGACTGCATATGGACTTCTTAGAGCATTAGGTTAGCTTTGATATGGATTCATTCTTAACAATAAAAGGAATATTGTCCAGGGAAAACAGCCATGGCAGATCACAGGAAATTGCTAAGGATCTAAACTGCATATTTTGAAAATGCTAACAGTCTTGCTGATTTATCTACCACAAGAACCCTGATCTTGAAGCAAGAAGTATACATGATCCTACTGTGCAACTGTTTTCTCATGACAATGGAATCATGCCAGACTACCAAAATCTCAACAGAACAGGCCACTGACATAAATGTCTTGTGTTTTAAGAAGAAAATACATAACTACTGGAGGTCTGCTTTTAAAATTACTGTTAGTATCCTGATTTGCAGCGATCCAGCTTTAAAAATTAAACCTTTTAAATACATTTTGATACCCATTCGGTGTATTTGGGGAGGAGGGAAGTAATCTTTGAATGTGTGAACTGATCATTTAATGAAAATCATGTTGTTGCAGAAATGAAAAATACTATACTGTATTCACTTTCCCCCCTTATCTTGCTCTGCAGGTTACAACATCAAAGGAGAAAAACAAAACAAAAGAAAACCACCACCACCCTCGGTGATGGTTAGCAGAGACATGCGACTTTATTTTAATATGCAACACTGGGAACAGCTAAAACACATGCACTGCTCACAGCTCCTTTGAGGATACCTCTCAGATCTGGGACAAGCAGAATTACAAGGCTATAAGGGCATCCTGTTGCCTTCAATGCTGAACTTGACAGCTCGATGCACTTTGCTTAGTCGTTTCTGTTCAGCAAACCGCCTCTTGTGTTTTTCCAACCGATTAATACCTTTCTTAACAGTCCCGGGCTAGAAACAACATCTCCGTTAAAGGACTGACAATTAACAAGAACAGAAAGTTGTAATACTTTAACGCTAGCTTATCCCCCTTGGGTTTGACGTATATATATATATATAAAAAATTAACCTGTAAAGGTATGAATAGCTGTGATTTAAAGCAATAAGGTGATCAAAGTGGAGGCTGGGGATGAGGAGGAGATTATCTGGTGTCATAACCCTCACACTATCAGAAAAAATAATAGCAGTTCAGAGAAACATTGGCTGGACACCTTGCTTAATGCAATAAATTGTGCCAGATTAGGACCACAGAATCGTTGAGGATTTGGTGAATCAACTCCTCTTTAAGACCTACTGATCGAAATAGGCCTATTCTAGCTGTGAGTTATTAGGCTAGAGAAACATCACTTAGAATTGGAACAGCCAGGTAAAACTATTACCAATTACCCTTTTTAAAGCACATGCTAAGTTAAAGAACTATTCTGGCTGGATTGTTATCTTTTCTGGGAACAAGACAGTGGCCTCTTTGGCCATGTGCAGTGCCTGGAAACCATGTGATGATGCCTGGAACAAAGCAAAAGTGAGGACAGGCTCAACTGATTTCAACAATATCTAATCTAGAAGTGGTCTAAACTTGTTGATGAAAAGCACATTTGTTCCACTTCCCGAAGTAACTTACCCTGGAAGATTCCATTTCCACATTCCACTTTGGCCTCACCACATAATCCTTGTTGGAGGGCATTGGAACTCTTGCACGAGCACAAAATCCTGGATCACCAGGCCTAAGAGCTCTGAGAAAATTAAAAGATGTCGTTGTTAAGTAGCTGCTCAAGCTTTGGATGGATCTCTCCCTACTCAAAACACACACTTTAACATTTTTAGTTATTCTATTCTATGACCAACCCAGCAAAAGTTCAAAGTCTGTGTCCATCACAAATCATACAACCAGAGTCTTGATATATCAAACAGGTACTAGAAAAAGGAGAAAGACATACTTTTCCTCTCCTGTCAACACCTTCTCTAAGTCCCTGCGGGGCGTCTGACCACCAGAACTGTAAAGACAGAGAAAAGAGATTTGGTACTGCAGAAGAACAATTACACATTTTCCCAGACAATGAAAAAAAATATATTCATGAATGATGGCTCTTTGTTACATTATAAACATTATTTACATGAAAAGCAGGCAACTGCAGCAACCTCCACAAATATGAGATAGTCTTGTGGAAGAGGAAATATGGGGTGGTGGTAAAAAATCAAGTGCTAACTAAGACTCCTCACCAACCAACAAGGAAGTTAAAACATGGGAGGGAATGGAACCAATACATATGCCAGAAAGAGCAGCTCAGTTTTGTAAGCCAAAGCTGCTGAAAAGCCCTGCACATGCACCCAAAATGCCTACCTGCTCAACCGCCTTCTCTGTGGCATCTGCTCCAGATCTCTCTGTTCTCTTTCTTCTCTAGTCATTCCCTTGTAATTTGATGTTAGACCAAAAATAGGCCGAGACCACTCATCTATGTTTTTGTTAAAACAAAAAATTACGAAGCATGAGCGGAACCCACAACTGCAACAAGATTTTTAAAATCAAACAAGCATTTTGCCGTTGACATCCATTTATATTGCTTAACACCAACTATGGACATACACAATGGGCCCTGGGTCTCAATCTTTTCTGCTCAGTAAATACAAGAATTCTGCTTTCAGTTTAAAAAACTACAACACTTTTTGGCTCTATGATTCTGAACCTAAATTTGAAAATGTGAAAAATAGGTGCACGAACCATACCGGCAACTTAGCATTCACCACATTCATAAACACGTACAAGGCCAAGGTGCTTTTGATAACAACTAATTTAAAGGCACAAATCATTCAGAGTTTTGATGATATACAATACCGTTCCAATGTATTGCTTACAAAAGTATGGTCAAGTCTGATTCATGTTCAAAAACTGTTTGAAGTTTAACTTTAATCTTGGCCAATCCTCCATAGTTGCAATTATATTGAAAAAGAAACCTACTGTCAAATTATGACTGCTAAGGGAAGTCACTAAATCTTGGGCATGAACTGCTGCTCCTTAAGAAGACTGCATTCATTAATGACATGCAGCTGAAAACACAACCAGCACCTCATTAATGAACACTGCTTTGGCACCAAAACTTAAGTGATTTCATTTCACATGCTGAAATCAGCTTTAGGATTCTGGTCATTATAATGAAGAAACAAAAGGTATAGGATTTAGGAGATATATACATGCCTTTTTAAAAATCATATAGCATTGCTATATAAAAAGTATTCATGTATGACTGCAAATTCTTGCATCACATACTGTACTCATTTTACAAATGACAAAAATACTGATGGCAACACAGTCTCTGGTGGATCACAAGATTTACTTACTAATTAGTTTTCCTGCCATGTCCTTATTAGGCCGTGACTCCTTAGGGTGCTTGTAAAGATACATAACTGCCCGTCCAATCCCACTGTGCTTTAAGGTTTCTTGGCTCACACTAGGCAACTGTTAAAAAAGCAGAAACACAGCAAATCATCATAAACTCAACCCCCTTAACTGTATAGTAGGCTGTGTAGGTAACAGATGTTTCAGGAAGGTAGATTTAAACACTAAGAAAGGGGTATAAATAAATAAGGAAAAGGAAGACAAGAAGCCCAAGATGGATGTAGAATCTTAATCCCAAATAAATGAAATAAAAGCAAATGGGCATCTGTAAAAACATGAAATAAACAGATTCGAACTTGTGCAGGGGCTTTAATTTTTTGATTCTGCTTTCTTGGAACTGTGCTAAGTACGTCCAGGTGTCAATGTAAACACACAGATATGGATACTGTTTCTCTTCTGTGGACATGTTCAATTATCCTTTCTTAGAGAATCACCACAAAATAATGGGGTCAGCCTTCCATAAAGTTGTAAAAATCATGCTGGCTCTACAGTCTAGGATGGAGAGACCAACCTCCTGCAGAATCTTCAGGAGCTCCTCTCGGATCTTCAGTGCTGGAAGGCTCCGGTCTGGTAGTGGAGAAAGCCACTCTTTAATGGCAGACATCACCCCACTGTCAATGAAAGTTTCCTTAAGATCCTGCCTAGAAATTCGACATGAAAGCCATCAGAACTAGAGGAATACTAATACCCTCTGGCCATTCATCAACACACCATTCTAATGCCAGCTTGAATTATCCAAGCTTATTGTGAAAGACCTATAAACACAAGCTGGGATGGGATGCCTAAGACACCTTGATTGGGTATGAAATCAGTTGGCTTAGGCTTGCAGAAGATGCTACACAGCATGTATTTATAGGTCTTTCACTTTAATTCAAGAGAATCTCAAATAAATCACATCATACAGTGTGAAGAACTTCCTCTATTTCCACTGACATTTCTCCAGATCCACTCTGAAATTATGTTTTATGTGCATGTGAGTGGTAACTCCAAGCTACATGTATATGATACAGAAATCTCCCCAGGTGTAGAAGTTTTCAAAAAACATCACAATATATACTTTCCCATGGAAATGTTAGCCTTAACTAACACAGAAATTAATCTCAATTTAAAAAATTAAGCAAACATAATGAAAAGAAAGGTAAATACTTCACCCACTACAGTACACCCAACTGTAACAAATCAAACGTTCCCCCTCCATACAATTTTGAAAATAATCAGAAAAGTTTGACTTACTTTTTAAGATGCATAACCACAGTTGGAAGCAAAGTTAACTTTTTTAGGGCTGGCTTCTTCTGTGTATTGAGCTGTCTGTCTTCCTGTGGGGAATGACCAAGGAAATTAAAAGCAAGCAGATATGCTCAAAAGCTCAACTGAGAAGCCTTGCAAAATAAACTGATATGCTTCTCTCCTGTAGCAGAAAAGCTATGAAAACAAAATTCCAAACACATTTTTGAAACTTTTCACAGGCAGTTAGGTCTGCCTGACACTGCAGCCTTTAGCATCATCTATCTATATATAATTTTAATGTATTTCAATTAATTTGCAGATAAGCCGGTCAGCATTTAAAACATTCTAACACTGAGGTCTATTTGCTCAGCACTATTCTTCCAAACATAATATGCTTTCTATAATGCAGAACTTCAGGTATACTAGACCTAGCTTATTTTTAAATCAAAACCCTGATGTCCACCAGGTGAGGAAAAGTGACTTGGTATATGTGTAATCGACAAAAGACGCATATTTAGGAAAAATGAAGAAATGCCTCTTAGTTTATGTTTGGTCCAGAAACTAAATTCGAGTCTCTAAATCCTCTTAATAAAAGTCCACTCACAGTTCTCCCCTAAGCTGCTACAACAGAGAAAAAGGCAGAAATTTTATTTTAAAAAGTAATCTTATTACTTTTGTTGAACATAATGCATGGGAACCTCTTTCCTGCCTACAACAAATCACCTAGCAGTAGATCCAGATTTTCTGCCTAACCTGGAAACTGGAATGAAGAGAAAACACATGAAACCTCGAATGTAAGAAAGCATACCTCTGCTGCTTCATTCATCTTGACAATCATTGCACTGACAACATCGTCAGCATCACTAATGAATGTCCCACCATCACGGTTGCGCCGGCGCTTGCCACTCATGCTCTTCTTTCGCTGTAACATCATGTCAAAATCTGACATGAAGTCCATACTGAAACGCAGAATGTTTAATAAGGTCAGTCTGAATGTTTCAAAAAAGCCAGCCTGATGAATTTGTGGGTTCTACTTATCTGTCATATGAGCAGTTTGCTTTCTTGGAAGCATTAATTTACAGTTTGGATGAAGGGGACCTTCAGGCGGGTTGATCTCTACACCAACTTCGGTGAGTAGCTCCACCACACAGCTCAGCCTCATCAAGTATTGGGCTGAGGTTTATTAACCCAACTTATGGAAAAGCCAATGGCTTGAGGTGGAGCAGCTTCACCAAGATGAACTATATCTCTTCTAAACATTACTTGACCTTGGACACCAGTATCAACCATAGAGAAAAGGAAAGGATGCTAATTGGGCTTTAGCAAAGAAAACTGTGGGTGTGATGGTACCCACTGTAATTAGCCACAGCACTGCAAGGTGGAAGGAAACAGAAAACCATCATATTGTATTTTTCAAGTGCATTTGTCATGGCACATATGTACAGTGGAAGGCGGTTCTCAAGTCAAAAAGTCTGTAAGTCAAGTCTCCATTGACCTACAGTGCATTGAAAACCGATTAATCCCGTAACAGGCCATTTTTGTTCCATTTTGGTTTTTTTCTGGTCTATAAGTCAAATCTCAGTCTGCAAGTCAAACCAAAATTTTGCAGCCAGAGAAGTCTGTAACTCAAAAAGTCTGTAAGTCAAGCCGTCTGTAAGTCAAGGGTCCACTGTAAAAAGGGCCTTAGGCCTCACAAGCTTTATATGGCCAGAGAGTGCTAAGAAGCTCCAGGCTTAGATCTACTGTAGGTTCAGAACTTGGTAACAAATCCTATGGTCCATCTTCAGAAAGATATGGATTTTATAATTCTCTGGGCTATTATGTAGTGCAACTCTCAATGGCACAAGCTAGCGTATCAATGGTGAAGGATAATGAAACTGCTATTCATCTGGGGAGTCACAAACCACTCCTGTGATTAGCTCTATGGTCTTGCTAGACACCCCAAACTGATGGCTCACTAGGAACTGCACCATTCCATCGATTTCCTTTCTCTCAGTCACTCCAGGCATCTCTGCAAATAGCCAAAAACCACAGAGGACTCATAAGAATGGGAAGTGTTCCTGATCCTTGTCGATTCCATGCTCTAAAGCTGTAGTTCTTATCCTTGTGAATTCTCTGCTCTGAAGCTGGGTATGACTCTTGTTTTTAGTATGTATTCTAGTGTAGTGTAATGGTTGAAACCGGACTAAGAAAACCCAGCTTCAAACGGAGGTGGGAACCAGGATAAGAGAGGGAGGTATACTTTATATGCTCACTTAAGCATCTTTGAGGAAAGGCAGGATTTAAACACAATAAAATAAGAATTTAAGAAGCACTATACAGTGTATCAGAAATGAAAATCTGATTTCTTGTAACTTCAGCAAAGACTCACTGTTTTCCTCTTTTGATATTGCTGTCATCAGAGTCTGAATTTTCTGCTGCTTCTTTCCTTTCTACCTTTTCTTCCTCCAAATCTTCTTGATTAAATCCCTTGGGTTAAAGACAACAAGTCAATATTTTTACATAAGTCTTCTCTAAATACAACTGTGTTATGCTATCTATGAAACCTCCTAAAAATTCCAGAGATCTACATTTGCATTTCATCCAAGCCACCACTCTATCTGAGCTTACAACACACATAAAACACAAAATGGGTGATGATGGTGGTGGATGTAACTCAATTGCTCCTACTAGGAAAGAGGTGAATCAACAAACCACAGATCTTCCATTCAGAGTTTGTTCATCTTGCTGTCTGGAAGACAGCAGCTTCCACACTCTGGTTTATATATTTCAACTGAAACAGAGTGGAGTGATTTAATCAAACAGAAGCATAATCAATACCAAGAGCACACCAAATTGATTGAGCAACTGAAGAGTCAAATGAAGGGTGGGATGGGAAAGACAAGAAAAAGTATGTTCACAATATACTTACTGTAAACTCCTCCTCCTCTTCATCTCCAGATTCTCCAAATATATCTGCAATGAGGTTTCTGGGGGAAAAAGTTTGCATTTATTTTTCCCACTTATCTTCTGCAGGCATATTATCATTGGTAATGTCTTAAACTAACGGGACACTTTTTTCCTGTACTTCTAACACAGTTACAGGTTTAATAGTGAAAAGGAAAGCAACCACACTTTAACTAGTTCATTACATGGCTCCCCCACAACAATATTCATGTCTCATCTACTGACTAATCCAGATCCTAAGCTTATTCCTTGGTTATTTGAAAAGTACTTACTCTTGCTCGTTTCCTGATTCACTATCACTCCCAAAGAGATCCTTCTCTTCCTTCTTCTTTGCATCATCAGCCTTGTCATCATCTTCCTCGCTATCTGAAGCTATAGGTTTCTTTGGTTTCTCAGTCGCAACATCACTATCTGATTCCTCACCATCTGAGATTATGCGTCCTTTTTTTGCAGCTGTCAACACAAAAGAAAAAGATGGACAAAAGTAGTCATCATGGAGGAATTTCCGCCATTTAATATCATATAGAACAGAACACTTAGCAGTTTCTTGCATTATCAAACCTGACAGAAAGATCTCTACTTGAAAAAGAAGATGAGACAAAGCCTTGTAGGACCATTAAGCATTACAGTTTTATTGTAGTGTAAGTTTTAATTAATTATAGACTAATTCTTCCAACATGTGAAGTACAACAGTTAGGCTACAGATTTACATACACATCCTACATGGTTGGGGGAGAAGGAACTAACTGAAATGGATACAGAAGATGATAATTACATTATTAACACTGGTCATGAACTTCCAAAGTGTTGATATAAACATCCTGGTAATAGGTAAGCAGGTAATACTAAATGCTTGAAAGCTAATGCTCAAATGTTGGCTTTTTCGGGTTGAAGCATGGAAGCAATGAGTTCACTCTCAAAATAGACCTGGTTGTTTTTAAAACTGAGCTTTCTATAAAGAAGAAAACAACTTTATATGGCTGTACAAAAGACTACTGTGAAACATCTTTCAGAAAGGGCAACACACAAAAGTCAGTGTCAATTTCCCACACCAACCTGCAACTGATCTGAAAGTAGCTATTGTAGTGTGTAGAGACATCACCTTGCCGACAAAAGTCCGAATAGTCAAAGCTATGGTTTTTCCTGTAGTGATGTATGGAAGTGAGAGCTGGACCATAAGGAAGGCTGACCACCGAAGAATTGATGCTTTTGAATTGTGGTTCTGGAGAAGACTCTTGAGAGTCCCCTGGACTGCAAGGAGAACAAACCTATCAATTCTAAAGGAAAGCAAGCCTGAGTGCTCACTGGAAGGCCAGATCCTGAAGCTGAGGCTCCAGTACTTTGGCCATCTCATGAGAAGAGAAGACTCCCTGGAAAAGATCCTGATGTTAGGAAAGTGTGAAGGCAAGAGGAGAAGGGGACAACAGAGGATGAGATGGTTGGACAGTGTCATCGAAGCGACCAACATGAATTTGGCCCAGCTCCGGGAGGCAGTGGAAGACAGGAGGGCGTGGCGTGCTCTAGTCCATGGGGTCACGAAGAGTCGGACACGACTAAACGACTAAACAACAACAACTGTAGTGTGTGTTTGTGTGTGTGGGGGGGGGAGAAGGATAGAATTTCAATGGAGACCTAATATGTGTGTGGGGGGGAGAGAAGGATAGAATTTCAATGGAGACCTAACAAGTAGACAGCTGAACTGAGATATATTCATAGATTCAAATGCTGAATTGGGTTTAACAGACACTGGGGCTTTTTAGCAAACTATATATTACAAATGTGCATGCACTTCTCTGCAATTTCAGGCAGCAGGGCTATGAAACAGAATACCTAAACTTCTAATATATATAAAGTTGCATTCAACAAGAAGTCTGTGTACAGCGAGGACATTACTTTGTTTTATATTTATAGAAATTCTCACCTGCCCATAAACATGTTTTATGTGTGAGCAGAGTTCATCGCTTCAATATTTCAAGATAAAAGCCTTAGCAGTTATAACTAGCCTATAAACATAAAGTGCTAGAGAATTATTCTATTACCAGGATACATATATAACAAACATTTTGAAAGCTCATTACCTGTGCTAATATAATTGTCCTCTTGTGTATTTGATTTCAGTCTGACTTAACTCCCACAAATCTGTGGGCTCAATATTATTCTTTCTATAGTTGAAGGACTGCAATCCATGAAAGCTCAAATTGCACTAATTCTGTCAGTCTTAAATGTGCCACAAGACTTTGTTTTTCATCTCTTACTCTCTCTTTTTCTATGTGGAAATGTATTAACAGCTAAATATGTAAATTAATAGATAAAACTTTATTATGGTCAAAAGACCAGCCACAAATAAAACATCAAACTATATAAATATACAGAAGTATACAAAAATATTGTGATTGAATGGAAAGCAATAATCGGTTCTGAGGTGAACAACAGCATCAAAACATCTCCCCTAAAGCAATTCCAAAATCTCTAGCAAACCATGCTCTAACTACAGAGGCTCATCCACTTTTAGGGTCCTTTTTCTAATGCCCATTGCAGCAGTGAGAAATTTGACAACCCTATGTATAAGCATGGGATTGGAGTCAGACAGCAGCACGTGCATACATTGTTGCTCCGTACAACGAGAAATCGGCCAATCAAAGGGGAAACAAGAACTTCACGTACTTCCTTGTAATATGTGCACCACAACAGGACGTGTTGTTTCTATCTGCTTCACTCCACATGGGCAAAGGCGCTCTGCCCAGGGGATCTTTTTATACCATGTCTCCTGTACTGCTGAATGCAGTGTGTTAAGCTGGGCCAGAGTAAACACACTTCTATGCCTGGGCTGCTCCAACTGGACAAAATAAGGTGCTGCTGTAACCTTGTATAGGGGCAAAATAAGGTGCTGCTGTAACGTTGTATATAAGCTGTCCTCCCTAAGGTAGAGTTCTGGGGCACTGTTTAAATCATTTTCTCTCTCAATGTCCTCAATATGTTGCTTAATGATTTTCTTTGCCTATTCCATTCCCATGGTTAAGAGTCAACCTAGAGTGCCCCAAAGAGGCTCTCTTTTTTTGCTCAATTAACTGAACTCCTTAAAAGTGTCTCCCAGGATCAATGGTGCAAGACCAATAGGGAGATAAATGTAAATTTGTGTTATCAAATAGCAAGATTCATGTAGCAAACTGGTGCATATCTCATCAATATCCTGTACTGGGAAAAATGTCTAAGTAAGTCTGTCTACCTGAAAGTTGTGACTGTCACAATAATACAGAGTAGAAGCAAGTCATGGAAGCACAGTGCATTAACAAACTTGCCCACTGACATATGCAAAAGTCTTAGTAAATGGTCAGCATACTACATTAAGCATAGATTAGGGTTGTCTCCCCAAAGAATTAATTCTAGATGCACAATTCTTGATAATTCAGGAAGGTTACCTTAGACTTACATATTGCCAATCCTACATAGTCAAAAATAAATGAAATACTCTTTACTGGATGAAGCGGAAGGCACAATCAGAGCTGTCAAATTCAATCTTCCAAAGGCACAGGTGAAAGAGAAATGGTGCAGCCTGTGTTCTCCTGTCCCCCTTCCTTTAATGAACTACACCAAAGAAAACGAGTCCCATCTTATAACCTTCCATTTCCTTCTGCTTGATGATGCAAAATATATGAAATAGAAAACACTGAAGTGGCACTGCAAAGGTTACAGATCAAACTCATAAGAAAAAGCAACCGGGCAAATTACAATATATCCTGTAGAACCAATGCCTTCCACCTCCTCTCCAATGAAAACTCACCCATAAACAATTGTGATTCTAGTTAATAAAAGAGCAGGAAAATAACCGATTCCGTTTTTGCAAATACAGCTTTAAAAAAACTAGAAGTTCTAATGCAAATAGAATCCTGAATTATGGTTCATCATGGAGATCACGTTGAAAAAAATAATGTTCTCTGTCCCCGTCCCTGCCCGTTTCAGCATTCTATAATAGATTATCATGACCACTAGCTAGTACACGTATTTCAAGATGTGTAGCAAAAAAACCCCAATTAATGAAGTATGTGAATGAAATTTGTTATGAACACAACGCTCAGTAACTTAACTATGACAATCTGCAATTCAGTGTTCCATTTGAGAATATAATGTTTTTACTTTTAAAACTGACTGCTTTTGAATGACAATACATCATGACCACTAGCTAGTACACATATTTCGAGATGTGTAGCAAAAAAACCCCAATTAATGAAGTATGTGAATGAAATTTGTTATGAACACAACGCTCAGTAACTTAACTATGACAATCTGCAATTCAGTGTTCCATTTGAGAATATAATGTTTTTACTTTTAAAACTGACTGCTTTTGAATGACAATACTTCAGCATAAAAACTTAGTAACAGTATAGATGAATGCACACACATTTGAACATTCAGTTAAGTAGTAAGGGCTGGTTCACATCTGCATGTTCACCATCTGCAAGTATGACTGAGCCATCACAGATTGCCTACATCAGAGCTAAAACTGTGACATCACTTTTTCAACAAGATGGGTTCATATGCTGAGAATTACCAAATAATTAACAAAGTGAAGGGAAATTCAGGACTACACATGCATTGCACTGGTGCTAGAGTAATAATTCCTTACGTGTTTTCTCATCATCCTCACTGTCAGAGAGAACAGCAGCTCTCCTCTTTGCAGACTTTTCCCCTTCTTCCTCTTCACTGTCAGCTATTTTCCGTCTTTTTGAATGGTCTTCCTCCTCACTGTCCGAGCCATGTAGTCTTTTTTCTGGTTGATCACTATCTGAGAGCTGAGTACCATTATCTGCTTCCTCCTCTTTCTTATTTTCTCCGCTGTTGGTGTCTGACTCTGCTTTGGGTTTGTTTCCGGGACTATCTTCAGTTTCAGAGTCACTAGCTTCAATCTTTGGGCCCTCATTTTCAGAATCACTGGGAAGAGGTTTTGGAGCTGTTTCATTCTCTGAGTCAGTATCATTATTTTTTTCAGGCTCTTCATTTTCCGAATCACTGGCTGGAGGTTTCCTTGGCTCCTCATTTTCTAAGTCACTTGTGTGACCTTTGTGAGACCCTTCATTTTCAGAATCACTGCCCAAGTGCTTCTGAGGTTCCTCATTCTCAGAATCACTATCATGGTCTTTAGGAGGCTCCTCAGTCTCAGAATCACTGGCCTGATTATTTACAGCCTCCTCGTTCTCAGAGTCACTGGCATGCTGCACTGGGTGATCCTCATTGTCAGAATCACTGTCTTTGTCTTCGGGAGCCCCTTCATTTTCTGAGTCACTGGCATGATGGTTTAGGGCATCCTCATTTTCTGAATCACTATGCTTTTGCCTTGGAGTATCTTCATTCTCAGAGTCTGTCACAGGATTTTCTCTAGGATGTCCATCGTCTTCACCATCACTAAGTTCATTCTGGAAAAATAAAATGATTCAAGGCAAACCGCAAATGAACAAAGCAGAAATACACTGGCACCACAGTGGCATTTCAGGCAAAGAAAAAAGAATTTCATATGCAAGTGGACTTCTGTTGGTTTTTCCAGCTGTATAAATGCTAGCAAAATTACGTGTACGATCTCTAGGCATGATACTGGTTATCATGAATGGCAACTGAAATGAATCCTTTCTTGCACGTAGTCTGAAATTCAGTATCCACAAGCATAATACCATTTGCACTAGTGGAACAACACCAATGGATACTGGATACTATGTTCAACATGGTTTACTTTCAGGTACACATGCACAGGATTGCAGTTTTAACCTCTTTGTATCTTAGCTACTGCTTTCTATAGGAGCTCACTCAAGGAATTCAAAATAATAATAAAACCAAAACTTTGTGCATATGATGAAAGTACACCGGAGTATTTTCAATGCAGGTCTTAAACGACATACTAAAATTTTAAAAACACACCATGAAAATACTTCTCTGATATTTGACTTTCCTGGAAAGCAACTGCTTGCACAGAAAAATTGTAAACAAACACTAAAGGTCCAGCATTCAAAAGGAGCCCAGAAGCTTATAACAACAATGTACCTATAGCCCCACTGTTTTTCTACAGTGGTAAAACCATCTAGAATTGTATTCAGCAAGTGGTTATGGCATGCAGTCTGTCACAGAGTAAACGTTGCTCTTCGATTTTATTTTTAATTCACATGTGTATATGATGACACATACACTCAGGCTGCCAACTAAAATTTAGTAACAGTCATCTTCTGGATTTTAATTTATTGCTCAAACATCTTAGATCCTAAATTCCGTGCAATGTGAACCTACTCTCTTCCCCAGCTACTGTAGTCTGAGGGCTGCAAAATAGCTCTGCAATTGTGTTCTCCAAGCAACTGCCTTATAATACTTGGCACTCATAGGAATTTCAAACACAATACAAAATATGGGGGCTGGGATTCTTTCTGAGATAGTTAAAAGCTTTTGAAAGTTATCTGAGGCATCTTTTTGAATCCCAGCTTAGTTTCTGATTTAAATTGTGACTCTAGATGTAAAAAGTATTTGCTCTTTCTAATATTAAAATATTCTAATTAGTGTATTTTCATAAAACTCTTTTTTGTGACCTCTTTAGTTTCTTAAATGTATCACAACATGCTCACTGAAACTCTACAATCAGTTTCCATTTGAGGCTCATCAGACTAGCATCCCATAGTTGTTTTGAAATCTCATGCTACAATCTTATATGGACTTACCTGATAGTAAACTTTGGTGAACTCAACTAAACACTCTTATCAGAGTATTCAAATTCAAAGCCTCATGTTTGTCGGTATTCAGCAGCTATCTTGTACCGAGCCCTACAAAATCATTTCAGTTTGTCCTGTACAATTCAAATGATTCTTATCTTTATTTATAGCATCACATACACACATTTCTACTGTGTGATTACAGATTAATTAAAATTAATTCAAATGCAAACCTTGAAATTTTGTTTTGGCAAAAATTCACATTCACTCCAGATGTCTACTTTTAAAAGTAGCCTTCTTTTTCTTGAAACATACACATCATGCCAATGGGATTTACCACAATTTAATTAGCATTAGTGCTAATGCTAGATTCATCAACATAATGTGCCATAACATACAAATGATTTGTCTCCAATACATTATGAAAACACAGACTTTTGAAATGTTGATTCTTTGAATCTCAAGAATTTCATACCTCTGAATGCTGTCCTATGCTTCCATTCTCTGAGCCAGAGTGTTGCTCATTTCCGTTATCTTCCATGTCTGATCCTGAGTCATGCTCATCCTGTACTGGTGTAGCTCCACCATCATCTTTAAAAAAAAAAAAAAAACAGACAGGGAAATAGAGTTCAAATATAGCAAAAATTTCAGCAACAGATTTCATACACAATAGAAATTATAACATAGTCTCTGGATTTGGTCAAGCTTAGTTAAATATTGAAATAAACTGGACTTAAATTGGTTTTGTCAATTTTGACAGCAATAAAAAATTACTACTGGTGACCTTTGTCCAGAATCCTATTGGTTAGCTATGCCAGCATAAATAAAACGATGTAAACCACAGTAGCAAATTGTCATTAGATAATAAGTTGTCACTTATATACCAAAATACATTAAGGGCTAGCTAGATGAATGAGCTGAGATACAAATGGCAATTTATAACTTGTAGCAATTCACCTCTGCAGTTTATAACAGTGCTCGTATGCAGGTAAAACGATCCAAGAGGATTCTGGCCAAAGTGGCCAGATAATATTGGCTTTAGGTTTTTAGAAATCATTTTGAAAAACAGCACCAGCTTTTGAGACCGTCTGTTTATTAATACTTATGTGAACAATGATGGATCCAAGCTTCACCATATCTCAAGGAGAAAGTACTCCCAACTTTAGAGTATCTTTGTAAAAGACAAACAATTCGGGTCTTGATTTCTTTTTTGCACAAGAATGAAATGTTCCTTTTTGTTCATGCATTATAAATTTGGAGGTTTCTGCAAAAAAACTGTGCCGCCACTGAAGAAATTTTATATGTCTTATTTTATAATTCTATTATGTTTGTTCTACTTCTCTTATTTAAAAATATTGTACACTGTATGTTTCCCTGGGATCCTTTGTGGACGGGGAGGAATCAATGTATTTTAAAAAAATAAATGGTATACTGTATAAAACTATGAAAATAAATGAACAAAAGGCATACCAGGATGTCTTCCATCCTACAATTATAATAATGTAAACCATGTTTCCCACAATCTAGTCAAGTTCTCTTCAACTTGATATCTTTCAGATGTTTGGAACTAAAAGTCACATTAACCATGACTATCAGTCACACTGGATAGGAATGAAGGAAGTTGTAGCTGAAAACATTCAGACAACAACAGAGAAGGGTACAATTACTGTATAATTCGTAAATGCAATATTAGCATCACTGCAGAAGTAACTCATCTCCCAAGAGGCTGCAAAAAAAATCAAACCCTGATGACTAGGAGAAAGAAGAAAAGTTTTTTCCAATAATTTTTAGAAGTATCAAGGACTGATTTCAGTTTCAGCAGCTCTGGGCTGAAATCCTCATTTACATTTGATATTAAACTAACAATGAGAGATACTGAAAGCTCCAAGTTAGGGAAGGACAATATAAATACTCAAACATAAAATATATAAAACCTTTTGTCAAGAGTGATACATATAATCTTTCAACATGGAAAAAAGCAAAGGTTCAGTCTTACTAATTACCATTGCTCAACATTTTAAAAGATGGGTGTCAATTTTCTTTCGATTTCTGTATGCTTTTCAGACTTGATGAGAAACTTAGGTATTTCATACTCAGTTAATCATGCCCAAATACAAATAATACATGAGAATCATCTTTCAGTGCTGCAAAAGAAGGATACAAACAGGAGATAAAAGGGATATTGAATAGTTTTTGAATATCACAACTTATGATGCACACATTTTCTAGATCTGATAACACTGGCAGAAAAGAAACTAAGCCAGAACATTGCACTGCCACCATAAAGAAAACTTAGTGCCAAACTTGCATGTGAATCAAGCACTACACAACCAAACCAGGCTCCCAATTACATTTTGCCTGTTGAAAGGAAAGCAACAGAGAAAGTAGTGATAACGAAAGTGTAACCCTGCCGGAAACAAGTGCTTCTAGCAACTGCCCCACAAGATCATAAATTCCAAACTTAAGCACCTTGCAGATCCAAGGAAAGCGAGCCTGAAGCGGCTCTCCCCTGTTTCTTTTGAGAAGGGCCATACACAACACTCACTCAAGATCTCCACTCAGATACCCAGGAGATGTTTACCAACATCAGGCCTACAGATGTAAATCACAGAGAAACCAAAGGCTGAGCCGGCCTTCGGTCCCCTACAGAAACGCATCCCTGCCGCACGCAGCAACAATTGCAGAAAAAGGAGCTGACTCGAGCCGTGGCCAAGAAGGCCCGCCGCCTCTCAGACACATCAGAACTACGAACTGGCCACGGAGCTCGAACCTCCCAGCCCATCACTCGACTCGAGTTCAAAGCACCCGTTCCCACGATCTCTCATCCTATCAGGGCCGGAAGCCACGCTGATCACACCCTGCCGCCACCACCACCTCAACCTCCTCCTCCGACTGTACCTGACGGCTCCCCACCGAAATACGCCGTCTCCATAGCCCCGCCTCCCACTACTCCCAGGCGACAAGCGAAGGGAGGGGGAGGAAGGGAAGGGCTCTGGTCGGGGCGGCGGGCAACGGGGAGAGAAGAGGGCAGAGACCGGAACGAGGTCGGGATAGGAAGAGGGGAAATCACCTTCCAGTATCTAAGCCGGAAGCAACAATACCCATAACCTACCCACCCACCCCTGCGCCTCGGGCAGGAACTTCCGCTTTTCTCAAAGGGCGCCACCCGTGAAGGGCTCTCAGAAGCCTTGCGCATGCGTTAGTGAACGGACGGGCTTAACGTCATGGTCTAAAGCGGAAGGACGTAGTACGTTCGGGAGCGAGGATCTTAGAAATTAGATTTAGAGATAGGAAAGTATAGAATGCGCTACTCCTTTTTTTTCTGAGAAAATGGTTGGCGGGTATATTAGATCATATTTTTTCCCGGAACGTAAAAAAAAAAAAAGCTGTTATTTTAAAAACGCTGTAAGAAAAATGGTAGCGCTAGTGCTCTTTCTAATTCTGATCTTATTTTGTACGAAATTATTTTGTATAGAATTACTTTAATTTTCCTCTCCCTATATTTATATTTATTGACAAAGTGTTCTCTGAAAAATTCAGAAAATTATATATGCCTTTTTCTCACTTTACTCCCACAGCAGTCCCGGGAGTTAGTCTAAACTAAGAATACAAAGGAGTGGGGTTTTGAATTCGGACCTCCTCGGCAAAAATGCCTCTCCTATTTACCAATGTATTTGTGATACGCCTGAGAGAAATGAGAAAGGTGCATTCCATTGCTTTCCGGGGAAAAAAACACCAGAAAGCCAGGATACCAGCTCTGAAGGGAAAGCAGGCTAGGTCGCAAGTTCCCTCAGACCTCTTAAAGGGGGAGAAACTTACTTTCCATTTATCTGTTTCTTTAAATAGCACAACGGAGATATTGCACAAAGGGCCAATGGGTCTTTCTGTAACCAAACCCAGCAGAGGAATAAACTGAGACAAACCCCAAGGAATGAAGAACCAGAGCAAACACACAGTGAGAAATAACAGGAACCTGAGGGGGGGGGAGAGATAGTAAGGAAAGGGAGTACTGGAGGAAGAGACAAAAGAAAAGGGGAGACAAAGGCAGACAGCATGCAGAGGAAGACATACAGGAGGACATGAGATTGAAGCTCAGCTGAGCAGAATCGGTGAACCCACACCCTATGAAAAGAAGGGAAGAGTAGCTGTAGTAAGAGACTCCCTACTGTCTGGGATTGAAACAAATGGTCCAGGAAAGTCCATGGAACCACCAGGTATGCTGTCCCCAGAACAACAGATTACAGATAAATGGAAGGATTACCACTACTCATAAAACCTACTAATACATATCTCTTTCTTCTGTTCCATGTGTAACAAACAATAGAGCCAAGAGGAACTATGCAGCTCTGGGAAGGAAACTCAAGGATTTTGGGACCCAAATAGTCTTCTCATCCCTTCTAACAGTACTCAGAAGAGGAATAGAAAGGATAAGGGAAATATCTTGTGTATGACTTGTTGAGAACTTTGACTTCATAGTGTCATAGTATCTCTGCTAACCAATATCTCCTTACTCTGCTAATGTTATGTGCAAACACATTATAATCAAAATTCTCAACAGGGTTATGCACCCAGAGGAGATTGTTTTTTAAGCAGATAAGTGCTGAATGTCTGGGAAGAAGAAACACGTAAAAGCCGAGACTGAAGTTGGAATGGAGCTGAGGTCTGACGGTGCTGAAGTAACTGAGAGTGGAAGTATTTCGGAGGATGAGGAGCAGACTGTTACAGCAAGTTCCATGATGCAGCAGGCAAGTGGAATAATGTATACAAAACTAAATGACACTTATTACATGTCCTGTTCTTTTAAGATGGAGATGTATGTAAGACCCCCAGCCAGGGTCAGGAGGCATATGTAGGAGTGCCGTCACTCCAATCTTAATCTAAGGAGACACAGACTTCTCCCCCACCTTCTCCACCTAGAAAGGAAAGCAAGGAGGTGGACACCAAAGAATTGGAAGAGTTAAAAAGGGGAAAGGGTCTGAAATATCAAGAGGTAGACACCTGGGATTTGATGCAGGGAATGCAAGAGTTAAGTATGTCGGGGGCGACGGGTAGAGATTTGGCGATGCAGGGAATGCAAGGGTTAAGCATGTCGGGGGCGACGGGTAGAGATTTGGCGGGGAAAGGAGGAGGTTCGATAGAGACAGGGGTAGGAGATATAAAGGAAAGGCAAGAGGACATCCCAGGCGGTTGGGAGATGATATGGGTCCAGGATCCCTGGCCGGGAAAATGGGAGCAAGTTAAGGTGCCTCATGAGGAAGCAGAACGATGCAGGCGACAAGGCTTACAACCTCGTCCCTCTTATTGGGGTGAGACCGAGGTGAAGGAGTGGAGACGTCGTCTGAGAGAGGAGCAGGTAGCTGTGGCAAGAGAAATCGAGGCAAAGAAAGCATGGCATCTCACGGAGCTCCAGAAGATGGGGGTCTACCCGGACCGTGGCTGGCCAGTCCGGGAGAGGGTTCCCCATTCTGGGGTTTGATTGGAGACGAAGAGACCCTACCGCTACTAGGTCTGAAGAGAGAAGAGGGAGGTCCACTGGTTGCAGAGAAGATGTTATCTGGACCATGGGACTTTGATGAAACAAACCCCTTTGTTGGTAACGTTTGGACACCCTTGCAGTCAAAGTTCAGACGGCAAGAGACTTTCAACCCAGTTCCGAAAGATGTTGCTGTTAATGTTGAACTGTTAATAAATGAAGACAGTGTTGAAGAGTTAAAACCGTCTCAAACTTTATTGAGTGTGACCGAAGCCCCTAATGTCGAACCCTCACAATGTACTTGAGGAGTCACTGTGGCAGTATGTGTTAAATCTTCATGATGATGGTGATAAAGCGAGAGCCATGATAATATTGTGCTTGAAAGATTCACAACTTACATGAGGAATCTGAAAACAAGCCAGGAGTTTTGGCAGGCACTCAAGAATGTCTATGTATGAGATACAGTCGGGTCCAAAATGGCTGTGGCACATAAGCTATATCGCAAGCGTTTAATGCCTGGAGAAGATGTGTCTAACCATATTAAAGAGATGTTAGATTTATTTCTCCAGCTTATGTGTCTTGATAGGGATAACTGAAACTTAGTAGGATGGCTTCCAACGCGCAATTGAAGAATATAAATTGTTCAAAAAGAAAAAAATAATAGAAAGGGAGGTGGAGTCACAAACTATGTCAAAAATACATACTGTTATCACATCAAGAGCATCTGGATTAATATAATTGGGGTTGATTTCCAAAAGGAATGTGGTAGTTGGAGTTTACTCCCTATGACCCAATCAAGGAGAAGATGTGGATGAAACATTTGAAAAATAAATTGTAAGAATTTCAAAGAAGTGCAGTGTAGCAGTAATGGGAGATTTCATTTATCCTGATATCTATTGGGACAGAAATTCTGCCAAATATGGCCCTTTCAAGAAGTTCCTGGCTTACATTGCTGATAATTTTCTCTTACAAAGCTGAACTTCCAAGATAGATTTTTCACAAAGAATAGTATTGAAATCCTTTAGTCTTCTATCCGAGGCATTTCATTAATTGTCTCATTATTTTACATTCTTACTTCTGAGATTCAGGTATAGGGCAAGCCCTTCCCACTACCCTATATAACGCCAGAATGTAGAACATCCTTTGCAAAATCAGATGAGTGACTCTTGCAGCAACAATTGAAGAGGTGCCTATAGCTGGAAAGAGTACAAGCATATGGATATGGAAATATTTATTTTACTCATTTGCCTTGTTGTATAGAAATTGAAGATATATTGCTTTTGAGTATGTAGTCGTGAGATCCATAAAGATCTAAAAGCTTCTGGACCTTCCTCCTGGCCACAACATAGCAGATGAGAGGGGTGAGGCTCATTCAGTTTTGTTCATGTAGTGCTAAATTATGGTCATAGAGTATTCAGGCTCTGTAAAGTAACAGCACTGGGTTGGGGATAGGGACAATGGTATTTTGTCTCTGGAGGTCTGATCTAGGGCTATGGGTTTTGTTGTCAGCATTGCTTGGACTATGTGTCTCCACCTAAGCTGTTTTATTTGTAAATTCAGATTTTGCATATAAGCTTCCCGTGACTTTATTCTAAAGGAAATCAAGCCAGCTGAAGTCCTATAGTCTTGGAATGTTTCAATGCTTAAAGAATTTCACTTATTGCAGAAAACTGGCAGACCGCTTTTTATCCACCATTTTTCTGCATCATTGCTTTAGTGCCATCTATTTTATTGCTCAGTTAAATTGTTTTTAGCATTTTTATTTTTATTTTTGGTTTTACGTTGCTTTTTCCTGTAAACGATCAAGAGTTGTGTCTCGGCACTAATGGGAGTGGTATACAAATCCAAAAGTTGCTTTTTCCTGTAAACAATCAAGAGTTGTGTCTCAGCACTAATGGGAGTGGTATACAAATCCAACAAACAAACAAACAAACTACTCATTTCTGAATCAGCTGCCAGGGGATACAGGCATAACTCCAACAAATTACAGTACTGTGATCTCTTACTAGCCACCTGCTACCTGCTGCAATCTGGATGTATGCCCACAGTTCCAGAAAATCTGGCAGCAGGAATGGTCTAAGCTACTCCTACAGACCCTCATCCTCATGCAGCATTATACAGATTAGTAGATTTTGGATTACTCACCTTGTGCACTGAAACACCTCCCTTTATACTCCTACCATATATGTAATGAAACACCCTAGAAATTTTTAAATATTATTTTAGAGACAGGGAAAATAAAAGAACAAGAGTGCCCAAGAACAAGTACTCAGTGATACAAACACCACACTTTGCAGAGTTTCAGCTTTTCATCTGTCATGTAAATTTGTGTGTGTGTGTGTATAAGACTTAAGGCTGCAATAACTTCACTACTTGTGAAGCTG